GGAACAGTCCACAGAACTGCAGCATTAACTCTTAAACTCCCAGTGCACTACATGATATAGTGATGTGGAATACAGATAACAAAAATCATAAAACAGTGGCAGCAATTACTTCTCAGCCTTTGTTAAGAAGTGGGAGGCCAATCCTTTATTGCTTTTATGTTCCTACATTCAGCCCTCCACCTAATAGTCATCATGGCTGAGACACTGAAGTGAGCTGGAGTAGCTGAGCTGCATGTTTGAATGCTGCGCCAGTCTCTTCTCCCTCTCTTCATCCATACCTTATACTGTGGTAGCACCACCTGATGAAGGGTACACCGTTCCTGATTAAGGATATACTCTATTTAGAAATATCTTAAGCTTTAATAAACTGTATCATCAGATATTTGACTGCTCTCTTAAATAAATAAATGAAATTAAGAATTGTATGGTGTCATACACATACTTGAAGAATTGTTCTGGTACAAGAAGTGTGTATTACTGTACGTAGCGTCCTGGTGAAATACTATTAAAAATACTGAGTTTAGAAAGAAACATAAACTCTAATTACCTCTTAAGTTCTCTTATGGTACCTGTGTGTAAGTGCAATATATATACATTACAAATATATATTTCTTTGTGAAGAGAACACGTTGGTAGATTTCAAATATGAATGTGGTTGCATTGTAACAGCACTGTTATATAATAGTACAAGTTTCTAAAAAAGCTTCTTATTCCCTGATTTTGTAGAAAGGCAAGATGAAAGAAGCAGCACAGCGCTATCAGTATGCCTTGAGGAAGTTTCCAAGGGAAGGATTCGGAGAAGAAATGAAAGCATTCAATGAGATGAGAGTTTCACTGTACTTAAATTTATCACGGTGTCGCCGAAAAACAAATGTAAGCTCTTGTTTTTAATCTGTAGCTTCTCTATGACTGAGAATCTTAGACACATATTCTACCACATTGCTGATGGCTTCTGTTACATGTTGCTGCTGTGCTCTCGTGACTCTCCATCATTATGATGAACTCCAAAGGCAGAAGAGGGGAGGATGTGCAGATTCCTCCAAGGCTTATGGACGCATACTAGGATTTCTTGCTTAGCAAACATTGGTACATTGTCCAAATGGACATGGTTGGTTTCGGTGTTTTTTTTGCTGTTTTATTATTCTTTTCACTGTGATGTTCTGGGGCTTAGTTGTGTGAACAAATGGGGCAGTTCCCAAGATAAGGGGAAAACTATCACAGCTGTTATGTTACCATTATTTTGGAATAACAAACTGCTGGACACTCTTGGTACTTTTAAAGGGCTACATGGAAAATTCTGCTGCCACCAGCATTTATTATCAAATGTTTGCTTCTACAGCTTATTGGTATGCATAGATTGTTCCTTTTGTACCTTCAGCAGTGTATCAGGTGGCTGCTAAGAACCTGAACGACCATTAGAGCAAAACCTACAATTCCTTCTTTTCAGGCACGAACTTCTTAATTCCCAGGTCTTCCATGTTGTTCGTGGCATCTCTTTCAATCTGAAGAACATTTAAACATGGATGTTGAGGATTTATCTTGGCCATTCTAGCACTGCTGTGCAAGTGCCATTCCTTTACTTTCTCTGTTAGAACTGCAGTCTCCAGCTGCCTCCTGGATCAGATTGTGTTTTTCAGTAGCCTCACACTAACAGCTGGAACTGACTCTGTGATCAATGAGAGAGGGAGGAAAGGAGGAGATTCTTTCTATATACTCTCATATGTTGTTTTGTGGTTTTGTTTCTTCTTGATAAACTTTTCCTTTGCTGTGTATGGGTGTTCTAAAAATTAGACTGGCTTCATCTTTCCATGGCCATCATTTCCCCATTTCAGTCATGCTTTGTAAATTCTGGTTTTGGGTTTAATTGAATTGGCTAAACTGTTTTCTTTTGTTCTTGTTAAATGAAGACCAAATGCATTAGATCTACTGGATCTACTGTAGGTTCTCTTTAAAATTGACACACACCTCCTCTAAGAAAGCTCTGGACTAATACAACTCCTTTAATGTCGTCTTTTTCTTTTTTCTCTAACTCCTAAGTCTTTATTCTTTCTTTGTTCACAGTGCACTTCAAAGTGTTTATATCTGAGGGGATCACTTTCCTTGTTCAACATGCAGTCACTTCTAGCAGTTTAATGCATGTGGATTGACAATAACTGTATTAACACTGCATCTTAAATACTGTAGAGTCAGTTTCTGTTAGACTTTACAGAAAGTGTTACTAAGATACAGTCTGCTTCCAGTCACTTTCTATACTGGACAAGCTATCTGTACTTTCTGAAGTGGTACCATGATTAAATGACTCTCTTTTATTGTCAATGTATAATAAGTGCATTTGTTTAAATAATTAGGATTTTGGTATGGCTGAAGAGTTCGCTACCAAAGCATTGGATTTGAAACCCAAGTCTTACGAAGCCTATTATGCTCGAGCAAGAGCAAAAAGGAACAGCAGGTACTGTTTGATTCTATTCATAAGTCCACATTCATTTTTTTTTTTTTTAACTTTGCAATGCTTTCTGTGACTGCTTTTCTTTTCCACTAGTTGTAGTTGGAATTTAGAAAGAAACAATTATTTTCTTGGTACAGTTCCCATATGTATTAGGTCTCTCCATTAGTCAAAACAAACCAAGTCCAAAAAGCAATATTAAATACTCATTCAGGTAATACTTAAACAGCCCAGAAAGTAGATAGAAGTAAACTGATACAAAGTGAGTTATTTTAAATGTAAGAGTGAGTAAGGAGAGGTATTCTATAGAATCATAGAACGATAGTATTGCATAGTATTGTTGGGGTGGAAGGAATACCAAAGCCCCCCTGCGTCGCCCCTGCCACGGGCTGACTGCCCCCCAGCAGTTCAGGCTGCCCCTGACCCCATCCATGGCCTTGGGCACCTCTGGGCATGAAGCACCCACACTGCTTGTAGCAGTGGTGCCAGGGCAAAGCAGAATAAGAAGTTGACAGGGAGCAGAGTTTAGCTAGTGACCTCCTGTGAAGATAACAGTAAAGGGCTTGTGAGACAGTGCTTCAGTTCCTAGTTGATTTCTGCTGCCTTCCTGATGACTCTGATGCAAGAGGGGAAAGACTTAGGACTAGGTCTGTGCTTCCACTGTAGAACTTCTTGGGCTGGAGACTATACTGTTCTTATCTTTTCACCACACCTAGCAGGAGATAACAAATCAGAACATCTCTTTGAAAGTGGTGGAGGTGGATATTACTGCTTAATAAGCAGTGCTGAAACTTGTCCCATGTTTTTATTGATAAATTCTGGGGTCTTTTTCATACAGAAAGCTACTTGCTGCTCTTGCTGACTTACATGAAGCCACAAAGCTGTGTCCTAGCAATCAGGAAATAAAACGTCTTCTGGCTCGAGTAGAAGAGGAATGTAAGCAGTTCCAGAGAACACAACAACAGAAGCATCAGTGCCCACAGTCAGGACAGCAAATTAACAACTCTGATAATGAGGAGGAGGATGGTATTCAAGGTGTGAATGAGAACTTGCATCTTCAAGAAAAAGAGGAAGAACTACTACCCTCTGATGAATCTGTTTCCTCTCCACAAAGGCTGCAACATTCCTTAGCTGCTTCATCATACACTAGAAACCTTCAAGACAGTGTTCAGCAGAAAGTGAGACCTGTGTCCCCTCAAGGCAGAACAGGCAATAAATACCTGAGAGAGCCAGGCTTGATCATGCAGCCAACAAAGCAAGCACAGATTGTAAAAACTAATCAGCACCTGAGCTCCATCCAGCCTGGATCAAAACTGGGAAGTAATCAATGTAATACAAAGACACAATCGCCTTTTCAGCATCTTTCTCAAAGTCCTGTGCCAGTTCGACAGTCTAAAATTCAGCATTTGGATGGGACAAGCACATTATCAGCTGGAAATGCTTCCACGGGTGCTAGTTCTGAGCTGTACAATGAGAAATTCACATCCAGCCAGTGTTCCCATTCACAGCACTCTTTTGCAAAGAAATCTAAAACCACTGACCCATCACCAGCCCCATTTCAAATGAATTTCAGTGAAGCAAGACAGCAAACTCCTGTACCCAGCACTGTCTCTTCGAGTTCTCCATCTAGCAGTATGATTCTTGCCAGCTCAACCAGCAGCTTAACTTCAGTGAGTAGTTTTGCAGATAGCATTAAGGGGCTAGGGCCAGACGTTCGAATCAAGGAGAACAAAATTAATCAAGTTCATGTTACTGCTGCTGAACACAGACCTCGCAATACCCCATTTATGGGAATCATGGATAAGACTGCCAGGTTTCAGCAGCAAAATCAGTCCAGTCGCTCTTGGCATTCCCAGGCCTCAGATGGATTATCAACAAATGTTTCTTCTGGGAGCGTTCAGTCTTCTAATTTTGAGCAGTTTTCAGTCAAACACGCTCAAACTAAAACTTCCTCTACTGTTACTGTCCCAGGAGAGAGCAACCAGAATGGTATGCAAGCTAAAATACACGAGGAGCTTAAGTGTCAAACAGCTGCCTACTGTCAAGATAATAGAGCACCAAAACAAGTTCTGCATTTATACCAAGATGCGCCATCAAAGCACTCTCACATCAGTAAGGAAGGTCATTTAAGCCATGTCACCTCTACAAAACCCAAACGATCATTTATTGAATCAAATGTGTAAATATTATTTTGTATATTACATAGTTGTAAAACTTTGCTTATAACATCATAGGGTGATCTCACTATAGTGGGATAGTGGCTGGCTGCTGGTGAGCGCTCAGCCCGTGTTGACCAGTGCTTTGTGGGGTACGACCACTTTAAGCTGTTCATACTGACACAGTAACTGGAATAGCCAGTTTGTGTAGGAAGAGTCAATTAGGATCAATCAGTCAATCAATCCAACAAACTAGGACCTCAAGTAGTAAAATGCTTGCCATGACATTTTACCCCCCAAAAAGAAAATATATATACATACAAATATATATATATATATTTATATATATAAATATATATATATATAAATTTATATATATAAATATATATATATATATTTAGCTTCTCCATAGGGCTTTAATCTTTGCTTTTGGTTGTATTGCATCTCATCACACAATGATTGTGCCTCTATTATGCTTAAGTGCTTTCTTCAAAAAACAGTGTTACAAAAATAGATGCTGCATACTCTTCAGATCTGTATATGGTTTTTTTTTTAATCAAAGATAATATTTTATCACTTTTCTAGTGGGCTCTACTTTGAGGTGCATGATGTACATTTAGGAAGCAAAATTTGTGTATGAGTAAACTCAAAGCAGTCATGTTTTGAGATGTAAATATAACTATTTTTAGTAACAAGTAAAATAAACAGTAGCATCTGCATGTGTATTGAAAGGCTTTGACCATATTGGTTATTGCACTGAGTAACACAATATTACAGCATGTTAACGATAATCGCACTTTATATAGTTTACCTGATCACCTTTGGGTGCTATTTTAAAGCAAAATTATATATTGGCTGTTTATTCATTAAAAAAGGTACAGCAGTGAAATGTTTAGTAAGTATTTTGATAGGAAACCCAAGAAACGAAATGCAGATGAAAGTTGGAAGAAAAGCGTATGTGCAGTTACTTTATAGGATGAAGTTGTGGAGATTTTTCAGAGGAAATACAGTTTTATAGAGGCAAGAATATTCAGAATCTAAAGAGATGCAGTGACATTTCTGACTGCCATGGGGCAGGAGTGGTCAACCTGAGGTTGTCACTTTTCAGGTCTTGTGTCTGTACAGTGGTGTATTACCTTGTAAACAGCTGTATGCGTTTTTATAAATTCTTTCCTGAGTTCACATTATTATGCTTTAGCTTATTTATTGCATACTATTTCTTTGGTATTTTGTACAAGTTTATTATTCTTGTCCTGTAGTTCTATTTTTGCACAGCTACTGTATTTTTTCCATACAAAATTAAAGTTATGATTACAGCTGTGTGAGATGCAGTCACTGACAGCTCAGGAAGAATTCTCTCCCAGCTTCTCCAAATGCATGTTCATTCATAGGGAACAGGGAAATATGCTTTTTCTAATTAAAAAATAGAAATAAAATACAAAGTCGTAGTTTGAGGTTCACATTGCAAAGTGAAGACTTGAAAACTCATAAATTTGAGGAAAATTTTAAGAAAATTTATTTGGAAAATGGTGAATCTTGGTGTTTGATTTCTTAAAGAGAAATACCACAAAGTACTAATAACTTTAAAAAGCATTCAGTAACTTTTTTAGGAGCTTCCAACAGTGAAAGTGCTCTTTTAACATAAACGTTAAGAGGAACAGCCAGGAACGAAGAGAACTTTTTTAATTCCAGGTGTTTCTGACACAAATATCTCCTCTAGCCCATGTTTACATACATTTACATTCACGACATTTACCTTCATTTTAGTAAACAACTTCAAAACGAAGTGGTTTCACCACATTTCTGCTGAGTCTCCAGCCAACGACTGATGGCCATTTTCAATGTCCTGTTGGGTGTAAGCACAAGACTGGGAAGAGGAAGATTTGTCATGGGACTAGATCGTCTTTTATTGCTGATCCAATTTTCTATTGCCTCCTTTTCATAGGAATACCCATCTGCAAAGAAACCGTCATCAAAAGCTGCATTACAGACAATAGGGCACTGTTATGTAGTATATATTTTACCTATGTAAGAGGTAGAAGGGAATCAGTATTTCCAAATAAGAGAATTGAGATGTAGAAAAATTATGTAGTTGAAAGTATTACAGTAATGGGTTATACAGCAGTACTGAGATCAAAATTCAGTTCCTGCAGTAAATAATGGGGTGAGATGACACAGGACACATGAAATTGCTCAGTCTCTTTGGAGCCAACCTTTGTCTTGCCTGGGCTTGATTTAGTGAGTAAGAACTGTTGTGGGCCACGAGTACATAAGTAAGTTGCTCCAAAAGTAATGCCTCCTACTTATCTCTATGCAGACTACAATAGCTATTAAGGGCACAATAGCGCTACTTGCTGGAGCAAATTCTCAGCTACAATATTTACCATTTTTCAACATAGTCACCACCGTTAGCTATGCATTTTCACCAGCAATGAACAAGAGTCTGCATGCCATGCTTATAAATATCTGTGCCAGCCGAGGTGACCTGCTGTCACCACAGCTGAAACGCACCACCCAGCACCTTCCTGTGCTCACAAACACTGCATGGGCTTCGTAAACTTCCAGCAAGCATTGATGAATGACAGTGGGTGCCATTTTTTTCACCTGAAGGAATTCAATGACAGCCTTGTTTCATCTGCACTCCCATGTCAGACACATTTAATCAGACTCCCTGTGCTACCATCTGTCATGGCAACAACACATAATGGAATACTGGTGGGAAGGTTCAACCTCTACTGCCATCACACTGACATCCACCTCTTACAGGCCAACAAAACAAAACAGGAGGTGCTGCTTTTGGAGGAACCCTTGTAAAACATACATTACTGTTATTATATAAGTAACAAAACATTTTAATTGTAATTTTTTTTTCTTAAAGCATTAAAAGAGAGGAACAAAGCCACCAAATTAGTGGGATATTTGGCCTTCTGTACAACCTTTTAAGTGCCATATATACAGTTGTGTAAAGCTAGTAATGAGCCTGTGTTTTTGCTGTTGTTTCCCTCATGCACAATTAGGATTCAAATATATACTTGCAGAGGCAAGAGCGTTAGAAAAATAATCTATATGGTTTTGTCAGTAAAGCAGATACTAAAGGAATTGCACGATACTGTATTTTTCTCTGTCACAGATACAATTTGGCCAAACATTTACCACAGTTCTGTTTTCTTGCAATAGCTATTTAGATTAATTGATCTTATTCACTGTAGAAAGATATGCCCAATTTTTGTGTTCCCGTACCCATCTTTACCCCTAAGTCATTCACGTTATTCAACATTGCTCAAAGTCATACCTGCTGCAATGACAGGATCCTTCATGAGCTCCCGTGTTATAGGGCATAAGAATTCATCAGGAACAGCAACGGAAACAGAGACCGTTTTTATCCTCAGCTCTTCGATCTTCTGGAGGATTTTACTGCGCAGGCCAAGAGACTCTGAAAAGTTATTGGAATTTAGAGCAAAAAACACCATTATGTGAGGCAGAGAGGTTGTTCTTGCATTCACTGCCATGCCAGAGGAGACACAACTCAATCATCTTCCCATCCCCACCGAATACAGAGAAGTCCACAGACCCCTGGCCAGTGCATGCCAGTCCCAATGGATAGCAGCAGTTCTGAGGGGTAATGAAAACAGATGGCAAAACAAATGCAAGTGCAATATTGCTGCAAAGCCACAGCTAATGGGCAGAACTGCATTTTCAGTTGATACATAACAGGATCACGTGCACTGCTGCATGTGCTAAGCTAACTGTAGCTAAAATTGTGATGGAGTGAGAGGATCAGGAGTGTTTCTCCCTTCAAGCTGGATTATAAACGTAAAAATGCAATGGCATAAAAGTGCCCAAATGTTTCCACCACCCCCGCACAAGATCAGCCATGCCAAAGTATGTTTGTACACCACACCTGCAAATTATACTTCACTGCTGCATGCTCCTGCTTCATGAAAGAGAAGGTCTTAGACCTGTAGCATCTCAGTGCCTCTGCTTACAGAAAATGAATTGCTGAACTCCATATTTTGTTTTATGAATGCCTGGCACTGACTTAGTTATAACAAAATAGCATAACTACTACTACTACCTTAAATTTGGATTCACAAATGGGCTTTAGACCCAGAATAGAGGGGGGACAACCACCTCCCTCACCCTGCTGGCCTCCCTTCTTCTGATGGAACCCAGGATAGCACTGGCCTTCCAGGCTGTGAGCACACTGCTGGCTCGTTCGATTTTTCATCAACCAGCCCCCTTAATTCCTTCCCAGCAGGGCTACTCTCAAGGAGTTCTCCTAGTTTGTATACATATGTGGGATTACCTCAACCCAAGTGCAAAACCTTGCACTTTGCTTTGTTGAACCTCATCAGGTTCATAAGAGCCTCCCTTAGGACCCAGGGATGCATGTCATCTGGCCCCATGGATGTGAACACATTCAGTCTCATGTGCCATCCTTACAGTGGAGGAGAATTTGTTCCCCCAGTTCCCACTTGGAGATTCAGGTTCAGGCATGTGAGAATCCTGGCTGACAGTGAAGACTGAGACAGAGAACTCATTAACTACCTAATTTCTATAAAAAGGATTAACTAATGACATATATAAGGATTAAGATACTAAGTAGGGATTAAGATACTATGTAAAGATTGAAAAACAGTACTGAAATATAATAAAAAGCTCATGCTTATTATTAAGGAAGATTTTGCATGGCAATGTTGTAAAGATCTATGGGATCAGTCTGGGATCAAGAAAAATTAAGAATATAATCATAGAAAAGAAAGGTAATAAGGAACAAAATTCTGCATTTGTAACTATATTTTTGAGGGCACCTTCTACAATCTTTATAACAAGAGCAACTTTTCCTAGATTTTGCTGACGTCGCCAAATTCTTGCATTCAGTTTGCACTTTCAATTAACTACCTCCTGATTAAATCTCTAGTCAGGAATTAAGGGATTATCCATGACATGTCATCTCTTGAAAACAAGTTATAAAAGAATACTTAAAGTAAGATTATTTTTCTTATTAACAAAGCAACCACAATTTTCTGTTTGATGCATACTGAGTAATTTCCCCAAAGCTTACTCCTGCTGCAGTATACAGGTAAAATCTACTCCAAAATGCTGTTTCTATGCTTGTTCTCCAATCCAGAATTTCTTGATAAATATGTGAAAGAAATGAAGTTATTAGGACAGATTTTAATTGGAGCATTTAAAAACATTTCTTATAGCTGCCTGAATACCTGTGAAAATCTAATCCATTGTACTAAAACCTTAGCACACCTACTACAGAAATAAAGCATCACAAAAGACCCAAGCATTGAGAGCAGAGACTGAGCAGTGAATATTTTACCTGATTAATCAGAAAGAACATACTGAAGCTGCTTCAGCTCATATGTACAATTAATCTCCACTGCATCCTTCTACAGCCAAAGAAAGCCAGAAGGGAGCAGCTTCCAATACTCAGCCTGAATTCTACACGTGCCGTCTAAAGACACACCCAGGATTTGCATCTTGTAGCCTGCCTTACAGTAGGCTCTTGCAAACCAATTATATTATTTGTAATTTGAAATTTTCTTGACTGTGATCACAGCGTGTCAATCAGGTACCACTTGCTTTTGTTCATTTTTTTTTCCCATTGATAATTCTCAGTAGCGCCGCTCCCACTGCATTCCATTTCCACATAACCCTCTAGTCAGCTTGATTAGTCTCAGCTGGTGATTGCTGCAATGTGCTAGGCTACTCCAACATTAAGGAACATGTATGCAGGAACACAAAGCTGAGAGTCTTTCATCGGTGGCAATTCCTGACAGATTTGCAGCAATTCTGTTGATTTCTGCACTTCAACAAAGCTAACTGACACACTGATACTGATCTGATACATATCAAGACCACAGGTGCGCACACATGCAAAACAATTAAGAAAAAGGAGGGGAGCAGTCTGCCTATCTGCCTACAGGGAAGAATGCTAACTTCATAAAATAGAAATATACTTATAAAAGGATTTCTTGACTCATTTGACCTGTTGTTATACTCAATCTCAGGTGTAAATTAGTGCTCATGTGTTTGCCAAAACATCTAGTCACAGAAAACAGAGAACATTCTGAAAGCTCTGCAGTAGTCCACCATAGAGAAGCTTCTTTCTTCAGAATTATGGAAGTGAGTGGTAATAGTGCCACAGCGTAGGATTCCTTCTAAAATGTAACTTCAGTTTTGCAATAAAGTGACAGGTCAACATTAAGCAGAAGGATGCCTGATGAATTGCAAAGTGGCTGAGATTAGTAAGGTTTGCTTGAGCATTACTGACACCAAATGCTTTATCTACAAATAAGTATAAAATAAAACATATCTTGTATTTTTCTACTATGCTAACTGTACTCTGATGTGTACTCACTGCTGAATTAAAGGTAGCTCACCATATAATATGACAAACATAACACTTTTTATAAACTGTCAGGAAAAAAACTGGAGAACCCCATTTACCAAGTCAGAATCAGTAAGTCTATATAAAAGGTGAAATTACTTTCCCACAGCTTAATGACCCAAAATCTAAAAGAGGAAAACAGGAACAAAGGCAGGTAAGACCACATATCAACACTGCGTTGCCAGGGAATGTGCAGTTTTACATTTCTAGGTATAAGAAAACACACAGTACTTGGGGTAATGTGACATTAGTTTTGTTTGTTTGTTTCAGTTACCAACAGTAGTGATTATAAATGCATTTCAGAAAAACATACCCATGCATGAAACTTCTAACTTACTTTCATTCCAACACTTAACATATACATAAAAGATTACAAACTACATGGATTTCTACCTTCTTACCAATTTTTAATTCATTAGTCAGACTTTCTCTTGTAAGATTCAGGAGTTCTTTGCCATCAATGTTATTTGCTTTGAAAAGCCCAACAAGTTCTGCGAAGCCTCGCGCACAAAGCCAGGCTGAAACATCATCCTCTGACCAGTTCTCAGCAGTTCTAATCTTAGAGTCTTTTTCTATAGCGTTTCCTTTGGAAAGGAAAGATAAAAGTAAGGTAAACAATACAATGAAAAACAAACAAACAAACAAAAGAACCCCAACCAGTAAGAACTAAGGAACTAATGAGCATTTTCCAAATGCTCTCACTATTCCATGTTCCCTAACATCTGATAAAAGCAATACTCATTAAACATTTCTTCATAGGGGGACAGTCATTTGGCTTTGTCTTTATTGACTGATTTTCAAAGTTTAGAGGAATTTAACCTCTCAGGTGCTGACAACTGTCAAAACTGAATGAGAGACTGAAAAGTGTCAGCAGACACTAAAACTAAGTACCATGTCCCCTTATAAAAGCAGACCAAATTCCAGACTGAATTCCTGAGCTTTGAACAAAGATCCATTTATTTTTACTTCACATACTCAAGGTACTCCTGTATTTTGTAACTTTAATTATGTTTTTCCTTCTGTAGTGACTGGCAAGTTGTATTTCTTGCTGACAATTGTTTTCAATTTGCACATTTTCTCTTTAAATTACTGCCAAAGATACGTCTTTGAAAAGTCTTTCAGTGCTCTGGGAATTAACACATCTTAAATGCTATACAGAAAGTAAGAAATGGAAAACACCAGAAAAAAAAAAAAAGAGGATAATATTCTTGTAATATCTATGTATAAGTTGTTTGTTGTTTGTTTGCTAATAGAGAAAGCTTGTTGCATAAAGAATAGGCTAAAAATTCTTCAAACACTGACCTGCACAGGGTTGCTTATTGTCCAGTTGCCATACATGCACAGCTTTATCCATTGAACCCGTGGCAAGTAAGAGACTATGTGGTGCAAAGGCACAAGCTGTGACATACCTAAAAATGTGAAAATTGACATGGTATTGAATGAATTTCTTTTATTTATTAATAGTAAGATATTTATCATACTGAATTCATACCTGGTATGCTGAGACAAAGTATGAAGGATATTGCCAGTATTCTGTAAAAAAGAGTATTTGTGATTTTATTTAAAGAAAAAAACATGTTCACTCATTTGTACACATACTTTTAAAGATAAGGAATAATATTTCTTCTTTGAATATGACAGAAGTTACCTTCAGAGTAGGTATATGACCTTGCCTAAGCCATTTGGCAGCAAAGTCATGTACGTATGTTGGCTTTCCTATGTGAGGTTCCCTATTCAGTCCACTGGCAAAAGGCTACCCTTCACTGTAATAATATATAATATAAATATCAACTGAATTAATTATACCCATATTGGCTGATTGTTCCTGTGGTAAGAACGTTTCTTCTACAAATCTAGAATTAAAAATGACTTGAAACGATAACTGAAATTCAAGCAGACTTCATTCTACAATCTTTAATAATTTACTGAGGATTACATCAGAGGTTCATGTGTTTGTATACTAGATGCTACTAAAAACGAATCCCTGATTTCCAGTTTTAACATATGATTTGAGAGACTTTCCTGACAACTAAACATAGCATTTCTTTGACAGGTACAGATAGAACTAAAAGATGAAGAGCAAAGTTATTCCAAGACAGTAATTCATAGTTTTCTTCTACTACTGGGCATGAGGAAAGCATCCTATTTTAGGCCAAAACATCTCTCTCCCAAGAAGATTTATTGTCTTAACCTCGTTCAGCCTTAATAATGGCAATAGAACTTCTAAAATATTTATTGTACCTTATGTTAAAAATCTCAGGCTAAAAATCTGACAAACAGCATTAAGAGACATTTATGCTGCAGTTTCCTGCATGTTTCACTTCCTTGATGTGCCATTCCTCCGGGGGATCTAAGCATCAAACTACTGATACAACTGGGCCAAAACTGTGAAGACATCAGGTTAATCATTTTGGTGAAAAACATGCAACCCTAATTGAAAATCTGTACCGATACAGCAGTACGTGAAGAGAAGCTTAAAATTTGTTCATCTGTCATTTTCAGCAAAATATTTATTTTGAATATGATAAAGCTGTAAAGGTAAATACCACTGTTAGGTGAACCTCAAAGAATATAATAACAGTATTACACAAAACACCTAAAGAGGATGCTTTTGAAGAAAGGTCATTGTATTTAATGTAATTTTTGTCTTGAATTATTTATTATGCTTCCATTTAATGTGTGCTTTATATACAATATACCTCAAGTTACACTTACTGAAGATTAAAAAATAAAAATAGGGGGTTTCATAGTTCATATTTCATAATGCATTCTTTATCTGGACAGGATATGCAGAAACGGTACTGATAAAGACAACAGCCAAATAAGTTATCATGAATAACCTTACAACTACCCCATACTTACAGTCTCATATATTATGACATACTTGTCCACAGACCTTTAAAAAAAAAGAAAAAGCAAAGACAATGACATTAAAATTATACATAGAGGAATAAGGAATCAAACTATTTCTAATTAAAGCAGAAGAAAAAAAAAAAAAACAAACACAAAAATCCCAGCTTTCCCACAAGTAAAATGAACAAATAGAACTCTCAACAGAACTCACCATATCAGTGCTTTATGGAAAGCAAAGCTTAAGACAATGATACTCTTTAGCTGTATCTATAGCACTTTTAAAACAATGCATAAAATCCCAAATTCTGCACTTCCATAATTTCTGATGCAGAGGGAGGTTTCATGCAAACTGGCCCCCCGTTCCATGGCTCCCCACGAGGTACAAATTGGTCTTTGCAAGAAGTATCTGTAATGTAGATATTTCTGTGCGCTAAGCACAGAGTCTGGCTATCCATTAACGACTCTCAGAACTTCTACTGAATTCCAAAATCTTCTCATTTGCAAAGCAAACTAAAGGAAGCATTGCCATTCAATTAAAACTAAATGAAGGCCACATAAATGTCCAAAAAGAACCCCACCCAGAAATGCTGTTTTTTACTACTTCTTAAGTTTCTTAGTCTTCTTAAGTTCTTTGCTATGAGAGCAGTGAGGTGCTGGAACAGCTGCCCAGAGAGGCTGTGGATGCCCCGTCCATCCCTGGAGGTGTTCAAGGCCAGGTTGGATGGGGCCCTGGGCAGCCTGGGCTGAAATAAATGGGAAGGCTGGTGGCCCTGCATGTGGTGGTGGGGGGCTGGAGATTCATGATCCTTGAGGTCCCTTCCAACCCTGGCCATTCTGTGACTCTGTGATTCTGTGATGAATCTCATTGCAATACACAGAGAACAGAGCTTGCAAAATCCTAGATTTCAAACTCAATCCCCACCAGACACAAACAAACTGGAAAAACAATTCATTGTTTCTGGAGGGCAGAGAACTATCCAGTAATTACAGGAAATATATTTTGAACTCTGCAACTCATTTAAACATTCTGTTTTACAGTACTTAAGTGTGGACTGGATTGCCATCTGAAATTTCAAGTAGTATAAGATACTGCTTACCCTGAGGCTAACATCTGCCCATCATAAGAAAATGCACAAGCCAGAACTGGGGCAGAATGTCCACTCAATGTGCATTTATATCTTAATTCACCACCTAAAAATACAAAAAGTAAATTATTGCAAATTTGATATATCTGACGAGGTATTAAGATAACACGGTTTTAGGGGCATAAAGCTGCCTCAAATACCTGACTCTGTGATGCACTGCTATAGAAAATGGGACAAAGGATCACAGAGAGAATGTAATTTTAACTTCCGTGACCTCTTCACTTTGTAGTCAGCATCTGTCTAACAATATGTTAGATAATTGGGTATCTGTACATTCCATATTCATGCCTCCAGACTTCTATATAAGTGATGACAAAAATTCCCACTGGCGATGATTTTGGCCATATGCTCTGTCTCTACATAGCAGCCACATACTGTCATGGTTTTATGATTTTTGTTATTGGTATTCCACACCATAACAGGTAGAGCACTGGGAGTTAATGCTGCAGTTCCGTGGAAGGTCCATATTTCCAGGTATCTGGTTCTCAGAAGAGAAGAACAACTACATCTCCCAGAAGACTTTCACTATTCTATTTCCATTTTCCATTCAGAGGGAAAGATAAAGCTGTCCACAAGTCACGAGATGTCCCTTCTGTTCCTGCTCCCTCTGCAGTATGTGCTCCCCAGCCATCTGCCTTCAGCATCAGTGAGGCCTTCAGTTTTGGACACTCTCTCATTTTATTTATTAGCCTCAGTTCCAATTACATTGTATTATATTGTGTTATCTTGCATTCTGATATCATACTTAGTAAATGAGTTTTTTCTCCCTTAGCTCATTGCCACTGTTGTGTTTTTAGGTCCATCTCCCATCTCCCTGTCTCTTCTCTTTTCCACCTTCCCCCACTCCCAGGGGTCCGTGGGTCCCCCTGCCCCATTAGCCACAGACCCAGGGCTCACTGACCCGTAAACCATTGACACAGATTACACTGCAGTTGTAGCACAGCCACACTGTTTTGACTCCTCCAGCTCTTGCTCAAAAGGCCAAAATTACTGAAAGATGAAAGGAGATCTCTCCCTGGCCTAGCAGATCAAGAGGTTTCAAACTATCCATGTGCCCAGAGGCCAAGATAGAAATAATACTCGTTACCAGAAGATGAAAATGATAATTAAAAGCAAATATCATAATATTGAGAGGACTGGGGGAATTTTTTTTTAATCTTTACTATTACTGCTAAACAGATCACTAAAGAAAAAGCTGCAGAGCCCAATCTCACAAAATACAGCATGCATTAGCTGCTTTCTAGCAAAACAATTAAAAGAACACTTCCAATTTGTGGTTAGTTTGGCTGCGAATCCATGACAGCAGTATAACTTTGATCCTAGATGTAAATTGTCACTAAAGAGTTAAGACACTTAAATATGAAGAAGCATCACCATACACACCTAAGAAGTCTGCAAACAAAATAAACCAGACTTTGATCTTATTATCTTGACCACAAGAAGCCATCTGGAAGTATCTGGACGCATGTTCATCATCTGATGAAATTAAAAAATATTAATGGGAAATTTATAAGCACAAAAAATAATAGCGTATCAGTAAATTACATCACCACTCCTTCAGGACAATTTGGTAAATCTCCTTAATCTCAGAACTTTAAAACGCATTGATAGAAAGAACTGCAGAATTCTAAAAATATCTGCAAGTAAGGAATGTGTTTTACCATTATGTTATTTCCAGAACAAGTAGATGGTGCCCAGAATTGCGCAACTATGCTCATATTTGAAGTGTTTTGGATGACAAGAGTTTGATTCTTCTATCTGACAAGTGTGGTAATATTGCCTTCTAACCCACAGTACATGGTTATTTCCCCACTATAAATGGTTCTTTCCATTTCTTCAATAGTTCTCAAATTTTAAAATCATTTACACATGTACAAAATTTGAGAATATGAAAAACTATTCTATTTCTATAGAGTTACAGTTAAGCATCAAATTACCCCCAAGGTTTCATCCCTTGTTTTCCTGTATTTTCACTTTCATCTGGTTATTACAATAACATTCTCATACACACAGAGCTGTTTGCAGTTCACAGGAGCCCTAGACTTACTGTCTGCCAAGGCAGACCTTAGGATTTGCCACCAATCTGTCATATATCAAAGTGCCTCCTTCTCCTAGGATTCTGTGTAAGATCTGGGTTCTTACCAAGAGATGAGCAGCATGCCTTAGCTATTGTGGTGTAAAAACACACTTCTTGGTAAATCAGCCAGAATGAGAATTCTTTCACAGCACAAAAGATTTGGACACATTTTACATGCTACCAAGTCGTTAATGGGCATCACAGTGCTGTACATACCAAGCTCCTCAGAAGGGGAACACACTGTTTTCCATTAAGGTTCACTAAAATTTTTACCCAAAGCTGCTTTTATTATTACATCTTAGCAGGACTTGTGAGATTGAGGGCTCACTTCTCACCAAAACTGCACCAAGTCTGGTGAGGGAAAACAGTCTACCTGCTCACACTTCGTTCTGTTTATTACATTTATAGTTCTTTGCATTGCTTTAATCCAGTTCTGTTCCTTGGGGAAGCAGAGGAAGCAAAAGGTAAGTGGAAATGGTAATCAAGTACTGCAGCTTCTGACATCGTTCTTAGAGCCAGGAGATAGGCCTCACAGATGCTGCCCAAACACATTCCAAAACCCTGGCAGTGCAATTAGCTACTAAAAGCATCATCGACCTCTCCACTACTATTACTTAAGAGTATTCAGAATACAGAGAAATTTCAGCTCTTCCCAATGTCATTTGTAGCTTGAGCACCAATGAGAAAAAGAATATGAAAATAAGAGCTTGAGAGAAATGAAATCACACTTCTTCTTGTTCTTTTTTTTTTTTTTTTTTTGCCATGTTCCTCCCCTGAAGAGTCAAGTAACTAACCAGAAACTGGATGTGAAGAAATATCACAGCAGGTAACGCCAAGATCATGTGCTTTTTCATTACACAGACATCTCATTTTATCATCCCAAATAGTCAAATCACCACATGATGATCCAGTGACAAAGAAATTTCCACACGGAGAAAAAGCACAGGCCACCAAAGAACCATCTTTAACATTCCCAGATCTGAAAAGTAAGAGTATATGATAACTGATTTTAGAAGTAATGCTGTGAAGAGTTCATCTCTCAAATGCAATCTGATAGAATATCAAAATCATACTAAGTTCTGTATTTTGGAACTTGGTAACAGATGGCAGAGAAACTGTGCAATTGAAATGAGATGCAAAAAAAAAAAAAGCACACCTCTAGGATCCAGGACCTGCTCCTTGAGGAAAAACACGAGGTGACACCCCATGATAAAAGCATTTCAGTTGAGTGATAAGTTCCAAACTAAAGATACTTTGCTAGGACTTACAGTTTAGAAGACAGAATACTCTGTTAAAATGTTAAAATTCTATGGCAGGATACATTTTGAAAGTAAAACAAACAAACAAAAAAAATCAGTAAAAACTGATATCTGTATTTTAACTAAGTCAATACTTTGTAAAAACTGATCCTAAAAGAAAGTTCCTAGCAGATAGTAAATGCCTCAGGAAGGAACTGGGGTCAATAACCTACCATCCTCCAGGTTATCTAACAGTAATCTAATGTCAAATGAATGTCTCACACCTTTTAACAGACACTGCATCAGACCCAGTACGCATAGCTGAATTTCTAAGCATAGGAAAAAAGAACTCACAGACACAAGCAATAGTCACGCCACAAGAAACCTCAGTGTTATCAACTCTGTATTTTCTAGAACAGCTGCACATTCTCTTTTGGTACAGAAATTTTATTTACTGCCAGAGGTGTCAATGCAACAGACGACAAAGTCAATATACTTTCCTGCGGTTCTCTCTAACCAGACACCTCGGACCACCAAAAATCACTGACTCCCTTAATTAGATCACTAAGCATACTGGAGAACATGCTACACCACTCCATCTTTTCGCTACACAATTCTGCTTCCTTAGCACAGCTTTTAGAGCTTTCACACAGAAAAAGCTATCACTTCTGCCATGAAAACAGTGAAAGAAAGAGTACTATACCCATTCAGAGCATGCTTTTCAGCCTGTCAGGTCTGTTAGCAGTATCCTAGCTACTGAATAAGAAATGGCAAATGCTTTAAGAAACGTCTGTAAATGAACGTGCTTGAGGCTGTTCACATCCATCCTAACGATGATTTAACTTGCTGCTTCCTTCACAATTTGGACAGTCAATCCACAATGCAGCTGAGGATTAACTGGTTACCTTGTATTTACAACCAGTACACTTAGTCAAATGATTCATCAGTGTGGTAAAGGGATTCTCTTTTTTGGCATCAACACACTCAACTTTTGCAAAAGAAACAGAGTACTGCAGGCTGGGTAACTAAAAACTTAGATGTGTTTTTTAGGTATGTTGATAGTTTCTAAGTAATATTGATCACAGTTATAAGAAAAGCATAATAGGTTTGCCTTTGTAACCTTTTGTCCCTGCAACTACAGACACCAGCAACTACCCAGGGAATTCATCTGCTGAATATAAATGTATATGTACATCCCCAAAATAAATACAATTAAAGCTAAGCTGAATACTGTGAGCATGTTTAGCACTCAACAGTAATTTAACAAATGAAATGAGGTAGAAGGGAAAGGAAAAGTCATTTTTTTTGTTGTTGTCTTACAATAAGGTGGCAAGAATCCATTCAGTTTATGGACAAGATTCCAAATTCACATGATTTCAAATAACAAAAATCATTTTGGAAAAAAAAAATCAGTTCTAAATCGCTGCTGTGTAAGGCAAAGGCAGAGGCCACAAAAGCAGTAACAGGCTTGACTGAGAGTAACAAAAAGCAAACAAATTTCACTTTCAAAAATAGCTCCTTCATCCTGACAGCCAGAGGACACTTGTTTTAAATTCTTAACTTCCTTCCTATTTCAGAGACAGACTGTTTAACTGATGCTCTACAACTTGAGTAATGTCTTGCTCTTGTACTGACTACAATAACTGGCCTGAAGACTTTGGCAACAGAGGAAGATTCTGAAGATGACAGAAAGAGGGATTCATGCTTTTAGTTGTGCTACTTCACTATAAACACTCAGCTGCTTTGTTTCAAATAGTTTTATGCTTTGGAAACTCAGCTGAAATGTTGATTACAATGCTTAAAGATTTAGCTCTAATACTCCTTTCTGTTGCTGCTACATCTTATTCTACATCTGAAACAATACAGTTTATGCTAATACTTTCCAGCCTTTTTGATTTTTGGATTACCATCAAGCTTCCAAGATCTTGTTAGGCCTTAAATAGTCACATCATTATATACTAAAAGACTAAAAGACTAGAGCCAGGATCCACCCCTGCCCAGACCTCATGTAAGGGTTGGCAGTGGAGACAAAGGTATCTTGCTGGACATCCCTGCATACCTGAGGCCTCTGGAAGATATCAGCTTCTTTCCTTTGTTTCTGTGCCCACAGCTTTTGCATTTGAGCCAAGTCCCCACTTGCTGTAGCCTAGGACTTTGCTACTCTGCTGTAAATGCTGCACTTCCAGTGGTGTTACAGAATTACAGTATACTCAACATAAAGCACGCAATGCAGTCAGGCTCTGCTGACCAACATACCAGTTTGTTGACAGTTCAGAAATCAAATGCATATAATATGGAATGTATCCTAATTTCATGTTGAACCAGTGAATTAAAAACAAACACAAGATTTAGATGAAAGACAAAATAATCAAGCCTCTTGAGTATGCACTGCTTAATGTTAAAGAGAAGCAAAAACTCAGCACTTCTCCTATTTATGACCTTTTGGTCTTTCGAACTCTATTCATTTTTTGTCATATAAAACCAGAAGCGTAAGGTTTGCAAGCCTGTACACAGTACTGCATACTAACAGAGCAGCACTTGTATCAGATTGTATTTCCATAATAGTAAATAAGGTTGTGAAAAGGTATTTGGCACTCACCTGTAGCATTTCATTGAGTGCACATTCCAAAGAACAACACTTCCGTCAGCTGCACCTGACACCAGATAAGAGGACTCAGGAGAAAAGCGGCAGACCCTGACTGGACTGCCAGTGGGCTGCTCCAGCACTGCCAGCATCCGGCCATCACGAGTGTCCCAAACGATGGTAGCACCGTCTGTGGAACACGAAGCTAAAGTGTGTCCTGATGGAGAGAAGCAGCAGCAGTGGACAGCGTACGTATGACCTTTCAAAGGTGAGTATGGGAGCTCAGTGAAGTCATTTAACGAGTAAATACGAACTGTTTTGTCCAAGGAACAAGTAGCCAAGCACGATGATGAGAAGGCACAGCAGTTGACATCATCACTGTGATCTGTTAAAGTGCGAATTAATGTCGCCATTTAATCTACTTCCAAAAAAAGAAACAAAAAAACCTGAAGTTAAAACAGTTAGACGTCTCCTAATTCATAAATGAGATGTACACAGTACCTTACTAAGATACATTCTCCTGGAAGAAATAACTGATTTGCAGAGGCTAATTTTTCACTTAAGTACTGTTTTATCCTCAACCCAAAGCAGAGCACATATACAACATGGAAATGAGGAGGTTTTGACCCAGTTATAGTAAAACATATCTTAACTTTTATTTAAGTCAACTTGCAGGTTTGCAATGCAACACTGAAACTCACATAAAAACTATTTGATTTTAGGGCAATGGCAACACACTTTGTTCCAGTATTTTTGTTTATACTAATAAGCTTGCTGTTCAAATTTGTTCTCAATTGCACCTACACAAAACATAATGCAGTACAGGTGCACAGTAGAATCTAGTCACCAAGCTAACAACTTATAAACCACTTGCTACATATAAAACAAATATCTCTTCCTACATGTGATTAGCATTCAGTGACAAAACATTACTTTGGGTTGCACCATGGATGTAACAATATTTTTAATTTTATTTATGTAGGGAAAAAACAAAAGTTTTCCTAACAAGCTAGCACAAAGTAGCTGTAAGGTATCTTTGCATTTGTTTTCAAGCCATCCTCTCTTTAACTGGATGTGCCATGTACGCACTTCAAAACCATCTGCATTAACAGTTTTGTGAAAGCAGCAGTACCCTGTCCCATCATCCCTATAAAGCTGGCACCAGTACAGCTATGTGTACAAAGAGGCTGCTAAATGAATGCTAGATCTCCAGATGGGAGCAGAGCAGACCACAAATGTATGCTGGGATGGAAACAGAAATCACCAAAAACTACAGTTGAGCTTTACTTCCAAAAACTAACATCTACTCTGAACTAATGGCTATGGGAAACAAGCAAGAACAAAGACTAAACTGAGACTCAAATGTAACAGCTGAGAAAAAGCAGTGCCTCTTCCTTTTTATCACATTCCCTGCTTTTGTTAAACCAAGCAATTACCTGCACCACCACAGGTCAGGTTGTACTTTACCTTCCTGAAATGATCTGGTGAGGTGCCGAAGTGTCAGACACAGTCGGATGGAGGACAAGGCAAGTTATTTCCCTTGGGATCTCCAAATTCTAAACAGAAAATTTACATCTTCAGTCAGCACTGCTGCAGCTCTGCACAGGTAGGCCTTTGGAATGCTTAATGCAAGGGTTGATGAGAGCATGAGATAGTCAGAGAAAGGAAAGAGGGCTCAAACCAAAGCTGCTCTACTGGAAACTGGAAAGAAATGCTGTCCCCTTGTTTCTCATCATCCCTGCCCCTTCTCTCTATATATAGCAAAGGAAAAGAAGGCTGGAGAAAAGAAGGCTATGAGGCGACCTAACTGCAGTTCAGTATTTAAAGAGAGACTATAAACAGGAGGGGAGTCAACTCTTTATAAGGGTAGATAACAGCAGGACAATGAAAAATGGTTTTAAGTTGAGGGGGGAAAGATTTAGGTTGGATGTCAGGGGAAAGTTATTTACTATGAGAGTGGTGAGGTGCTGGAACAGCTGCCCAGAGAGGCTGTGGATGCCCCATCCGTGGTTGGCCAGGTTGGATGGGGCCCTGGGCAGCCTGGGCTGAAATAAATAGGGAGGTTGGTGGCCCTGCGTGTGGTGGTGGGGGGTTGGAGATTCATGATCTTTGAGGTTCCTTCCAACCCTGGCCATTCTGTGACTCTGTGATGAATCTCATTGCAATACACAGAGAACAGAGCTTGCAAAATCCTAGATTTCAAACTCAGTCCCCACCAGACACAAACAAACTGGAAAAACAATTCATTGTTTCTGGAGGGCAGAGAACTATTCGGTAATTACAGGAAATATAGTTTAAACTCTGCAACTCATTTAAACATTCTGTTTTACAGTACTTAAGTGTGGACTGGATTGCCATCTGAAATTTCAAGAAGTATAAGATACTGCTTACCCTGAGGCTAACATCTGCCCATGCTTCCCATAGGGAAAGAGGAAACGGGCAAAAGGAAGAAGCAAGGAACCAGGGAGATACAGAGAGGGGAAAGAGATGCACAGAAGGGAAGTTGAGCTACAGAGTAGGGCTAAGGCAGGAACAGAGCTGCTCAGAGTATTGCAGAAGGCTCACAAAGGCCAAAATCAATATGACAGCATCATGTGGTAGTTGGAGAAAACTTCAGTTGGGCGTGAGCTCCTTGTATGGCCAAGAAGCTCTACCATTTTTATATTCCGTGTTCCGTAATGTTTACGTACTACACAGTTGTGTACTACTGTAAACCAAATACTGCAAACCGAGTAATAGATTTAAGTCAAAGATGGAGATGAGAATTTGAAATGCTCATGAAACTGCATTTGCTTCTGCAACAAGGGAACTCCATGAGTATTCTCCAGGTACCGAGGCAGTGGGACTATCACGCCTCACAGACATCAGCAGCATCAGACAAGCGTGCCATGTGGCCGAGCTCAGGGAAATTCCCACAAAATACATTCCAGCCAGTTCTCCCATGCCACAGATCATGATCCAGGGAAAAAGGAAGTGCAGAGCCAAAAGGAAGTGCCTACAATTCCACGTTGATCCTGGTGGGCAGAAGCTGCTGCGCTACTTTGGTGGAGCCAACGTCTAAATCAGCACACTATTATTTATGAACTTCGTCTGGACAATCCCAAGGCCAGAGGCCACCACAAACAAGGAAGCAATTCACATACGTGCACGAACACGTGCCTGTATAGGTGGAGACACACGTTTGCAAAGTGCACACAGGCACACACGTACATTCAATGCACACGTCTTATAAGGGCAAAGCAACCGCTCCCCTGAGAGCACACAGCACGCTGCTTCAGTTACGGGTCCGATCCTTGGTACCGCTTGTTGTACCACCAGGACCCTCCCAATTTTACGACGATTCTCTTTAAACCTGCCGGACGGAGGCTTTAACGGCCCGCGCTACCTTCCCAGCAGCGCTCTTCAACCCTCAGCCCGGCTCACGGCTCCAGGAGCAGCTCCGGCACTTCGCGGCACGCCCCGCCCCCCGGCGCTCAGGGCCCGGGCCGCCACTCACTGCGATCTCCGGCCACCGACCCGGAGCAGCGCTCACAAGGCCGCACGGCGCTCCGCCCGCAGCCCTTCCGCCGGGGCGGCAGCCGTCGCACTCGGAGGCCGCGGGGACGGACGCCCGCTGCGGGCCCGCCGGGAACGGACCGCACGAGAACGGCACCGCGAGCCCTGCTTCGGCTCCCCCGCCTCTCTGAAGTAAAAGATGAAATAAGCGGCGGGAGGACGCGGGCGGCCCCGCCCCGCCCTCTCAGGAGCCTTCGCAGCCGGCCCCGCGCACGCGCTCTCGCCCGCCCCGCCCGCCCTTCCCCTCAAGGGGCGACGCGAGCGGCTTTTTTGCCCCATCTCGTCCGCGCGTTTCCCAGACGCGGCCTCGTTTTCAGACGTAGCGGCCCGGAGTCCCGGCACGCCGCCCTCGTCTCACCGCGGAGCGTGTTTGACGCCGGGCAGACAGCAGGCCGACAGCCGGCGGCAGGGAGGCGGGCCGAGCCGGAGCAGGCGCTGCCCGCGCCTTGCACGGAGGACTTCATGCCGCTGCTCTCCCGCTGGAGCTGCCCCGCTCGCGGACAGCTTTACGAGCGGCGCCCCGCGGGCCGCAGCACAGAGCTGAGCGCCCCGCCCCGCGCGCCGCCCCCGCCCGGCCGCTGAGCCGCCCGAGGTCGGCGGGCTTCAAGCAAACGCGGGCTGTTTGCTTTGTCAGCGGTCAGACGGCCTCGACGAAGAGGAACAGCTCGTCACGAACGCTGCAGGCCACTTAAACGGGTCCGTATTGCACAGCTGGGAAAGCAGAACTGACTCACTGCGCCAAACTGCGGCTCCTCAGTTCTACTAACCGCGGTCCGTTCGGGCAGTGCAGGCGGAGGGAATCTGTGTATTTAAAGATAACGCTGTCTTTTCTGAGTGTACGTACCGACTATTAAAAAAACGGATTACACTGGAGAGCTACAGAAAAGTCACAGAGTCAAAGAGCCTAACTGGGTTGTTCCAGATTTCAGCCTTTAGTCCTCAGTTTGCAGGCACGTCGTGGTAAATCTAAAGCATCTACGGCCAACTTGATGTGCACTGCGCAAACAACGTCCACTAGATCACAAATTCAGCATTTTATATAAAATTACTGTTCTTGGGATTTCTGTGCCCACACACTGAAGCACAGAGGTGCTCAGATAACCATCCGTCATCATGAAATTACATACATTATATGAAAAGATGTAAGGTTTAGAACTCTTTTTAAAGACACGTTTTGTCAGAGACAACTTCGAATTTCCAGCTGCCTGTGTGTCATCAAATGTGTTTGAAAGAGATATCAAAGAGACAAAGCAGAACGCAAGGTGATAAACAGAGAACTCCTCACTGACCATCACAAACGCTATTTAAAAAGTTTTAAAGTTTGTCAACAAACTCCACAAATTAAGATCAGCTTACCTCGTTCAGAAAGGAAGCAAGCACATCAGTCTTTTCCTCTAAGAAAACTGAGAGATGGGAACACTAAGAGGACAGAAGGTTAGCAATTAAGAAAAACTGAAGACATTTCTCCAGCAGTTAAGTAAATCTCTGCTCTTTTCTATGAAGATATGACAGTGTATTTACATTTCAGGCTCACTTTTCAAATATAATTTAATTTTATTGGAATTGGAACAAAAACACTCCACCAGTGAGCAAAGTAATACACTGGTAATGTACCAATGTTAAGAGAGGTGAAGCATGTCCCATTATCATAGTGGTAAGTTCCTTAACTGTACCAGCTGCACAGCTAATCAGGAGACAGGCTGAAAAACGCAGCTGTGTGCATAATGTCGGTGTTAATACTGTTCCAACTTCTCAGAAAACTCAGATCTACTATGGGGAATAAAGTACAGAATCTGAGAAAAACAATCGTCTTACATCAAAGTCATGCATTTGCAAATGATCTAAGCATTTCAAAGCACAGAACCTACTGTTATATGTTCAAAACACGGATTACTGTTCATATCTATGAAACATACCAGCAAAGCTTTTTACAGAAGCATTCAGAAACATTACGAAAAAGTTAAAAGTTATTAAGCAGTCAGTGGAGCTAATGTTAGAATGCAAGGCTGCCTGACACCCACACGTGATTCTTTTATTCTAGGCTATGCCAGTTCTTCTGGCAAGACTTCAGGTAATGTTCAACAAGGTGTTCTGCAGAGGGCAACAGAACATACGAAGAATTGTTAAAGAACTGGCACTTAATGTTATTAGTCAGCAGAAGGAGGGAATATAATGGCAAGGGGGTATATAAAACAAGACTAAGCCTCAAACATGGCATTCCAAATAAATCTATTTTCTTCAGTCAGGGCAATGGTGATGACCCATGCCCTCCTACAGACAAAAAAAAAAAAAAAGCTAACAAAACCAAACCAAAACATACATGGTCATTAGTTTTTAAGAAATATTACTACAGTATGTTGTAATGTTAATACAAGTACTGGGAAGCAAAGTGGCTACACCTCTAGAGCTTTAACCGAGGTTATCCACACTTATTCAGGAAGGTGGCAAAAGTGCTCCTCTGACTGCTTGGCAATTGCTTGCAGGTACCAATAAAAAGGCCAGGAGAATTAGATGCGTTTAAAAGCTTAAACTTAAGTGCAAGTCTCAAAATATATTATTGGAAATATTCCTGTACACAAGAGCTCAAGTATTAAAATTGCCAAGAAAATCTGGTTTGCAAAACAATCTTTTATTGTATCCGTGCCACACATACTAGTGAAAAATAACACTCCTAAAAAAAAAAAAAAAAGAAAAAAGAAGAATGCTACCTTTCCACAACATTTCTTTTAAATAAAGCTTCAAGTACTCTTACATTAGTACAAAACAAAATAAAATAAAATAAAAATAGAAACCCCCAAACCCCCACCTCTATCTGCCCCAACAGGCCACCACAACACACAGTAGATAAAACACAGTGGTTACAAATGTCTTTTTTTGTCTGTTTTTGTTGTTCTTTTTTGTTCTTGTTTTTGTTTTGTTTTGTTGTTATTTCTGTGGCAAGGCAAATGGAGGAAAATGTTTCTATGAAAAAATACTGTGTGTGCTAGGAAATTGTCACAATTTTATTCCATGTGGATACAAATGATTATACTTGAAATTGAGGCTGTGGTGGCTTGAAATTATGTAACAAAATAGAAAAATGGAAAACTAATATCCCCTACACCCTGTTTTTAAAGGCAGGCACTACCAAGATTAAGGAGACTCCACAGTGTTGGTAGAGGATAATTACTGTACAAGCCATATAGCTATAATTACCTTAAGACTAAAATAAAATGCTACTGTCCTCCTAAGGCATAAACAATAATATCTGCAAACAATATGTACACATCATACATATTTAAAACAAGACTTAATATAAACAATAATGAACAGTATATACAAGTCTCAATTTTTCTTCACTGTCTTGAAATACAATTTAACTACACAAGTGATGCAGCAACATATATATAAATGTACTTGTAACTCTACAGTAAAGTTTATTTTTAGTGCTTTTACAGCACATCAGTGTAAACAGTTTTACTTGGCTTTGTTTTACATTTTAAAACATTCCTTGTTGTATTTTCAAGATTTAAAGCAATTTTCTAATTCTTCCTTTTCACAGAAAACGAAGATTCTGGATGCTGTATAATCATAAATAATTCATAAAATTAAATACATTCACTAAAAAATAAACTACAAAGTAAAAAAATGAAAAATAGATATTTATTGGAAGGGAAAAAGAACCATTTTCCCGAGTAGAGCTCTGGTGGTTGAATATTCAGTGCGTTTTGATATATTTTAAATTGCTATTGCACTATAACACCCCTTTCTTTGAAATTCTTTGGGTGTGCTTCCCTGTTCTACCTAAATTAGTTTGTTAAAACATACAAACCAAGAACCAAGGGGCCATGGTTGCTGTAGGAGTGAAGCCTTTAGAACTAATATCACTTTTTTGTGATACTTCTAAGGAAGAAGAGCAGTCATTAGTTATGCAGGAGCCTTGCACTTTCACGTTCACATTGCTGGTCTCATCAGTCCTCATTTAAGGGGAAAAATGAGTTCTGGTAACTTCAGCTCAGTTTGAAAATCTCAGTCCATTTCCTTTCAAAATATTTCCTCATGTTGTGGCCAGCCCTGCCTATGTCAGAATCATCTTCATTAAAGGTTTCACAGTTGTCAAAAACAAGCCTGACATCTAGCGAAAATGCTTCAACATTAGGGTACCTGAAAAAAGAAAAAGGTGAATCATTTCTGGAACAGTTAAAATCAAAGGGGAAAAAGTACACAACAAGGAACTCTCCTAACATCAGTGAATTTACAACCAGTTACAGAACACGCAATGAACGTTCAGTGAATAAACTGAATTTATCTAATTTCAGTATTTTCAGGAAAATAAACTGTAGCACAAGCAAATTCTTTTTCATTACTGTTTTTGTTACTTTCCTAAAAGAAAAATTAAGATAAAATTTCAAGACTGAACTGGGCAACTTTTTAATTTATTAGCTTGCCTTTTTGCTTCAACATTTTTCTAGTTAAAATACTATTGGTATTTTCCACTTATTCAATTTTTTCTGGGTCTCAAGTCCTTTCAAAGGAAGTGCTGAGTACAGCCACATTTACCCAGAAAATGAACGGTCAGGTACATAAAGGGCTGCCTGGATTAATCCCATTACTTTGTCTTTTTTTACTCTTTTTCGTATCCTGAAATAGTGTTCCAGTATGCAAAGGAACTGTTAAAAAGAAATGCAGCACAATTCTCAATAAGCACATGTGGAGCATTGAGATCTCAGGGTAAGTAACATTTACAATAAGTTTACTTACTGTCCGCTAGTTAGCTTGTCTCTAATGGTGGAAAAGTCCATAGGCTTTTTAATAACTTTCTTATAACCAGGAACAAGTTTCAAGTTTACAGGAAGTAAGAAAGGCCAAGCATCCTCATGAGTTTCCAATTCTGAGAGAATCATGCTGAATAAAATAAGGATTTAAATAAGAAATTTTAAACTCTGCATAGTCAGAAAAGTTGTTCAGTGGTTCCATAAATTCATCGCGTATTGTGAATCTATTCATCCTACAAAAGGAAAGCACTTATATAATCTGTGCCCTCTGTAAGGCAGAAAACAGCCTCAATAAAGATAGAAAACAGCCTCAATAAAGATAGAAAACTGACTATTCAGAGTAACACTTAGTTCTCTCCAAAGATACTTATGCAAGATGAGGTTCCAAGTATTGAAGTTGCACAAATATGTCATCATAAATGATGTGCAAGCTAGTAAAACAATTACTGGTACTAGCTTTCCAAAAAGCACAAAGATATTACAGAGGATGATGCTTTCCTATTACCATCTCTGTAATGCAACAACTACACTTCAGAAAGCCATCAATACCACAGCTCTCAGGGTTTCTCCTACTCTTGGAAGGGCACAGAGGAGTACATTTCCCATACCATACTCTGCGACTAAGTACCTTCCATTGCCAAACAAGGCAATCATTCCCTGAAAGCACACAAAATCTTTTACAACCATAGTCAAATCACCACGACCCATGTAGAGATGCATAACAGAGAACAGGGTTCTTGTTCCCCAAAACACAATTATGTATAATGAGGCACTACCTGCTTCTACAACACATACCAAAGTTTAGAATTAGTCGCTTTACAAGAAGGTAGTTTGTACCTGCATATAGCCAGGTCCTTGGAATCATCTCTTTTAGGTTTCTTTATAGCAGTGAAATTTTCTTGCTTTCCTTGGCTTACAGAAACACTTTCATCCATTTTCCTTTTTTTAGGGTCTGCTTTTCCTCTTTTTAACGAGGTGCTAGTAGTTGCAGAGTCTTCATCTTCTGTATCTCCTGGTAATTTCCTGCCTCTCTTTTGTTCATTACTTTTTTTTCCTTTTATTTGAAGTTTTTTTAATTTTAGAGATTGACCACTTGCCTGAAAATAAAAAGGAATAAGCAATAACCAAGAAATTACAGAGATCTGTTACTACCGATAGACAGCAGTGAAGATCAAACAGTCACCAAAAAAAACTGTAACATGTCAGCAATTAGTCACTTTTTGCTCTTCTGTAAAGGTAAGGCTGCAGAAATCCCTGTGACTAGTGGTTTAGGTTCCCAACTTGTGACAGTGTAAAAGCACCTGACCTTCAGGCTGGTATGATAATACCTGTCAGCAAACCAGGATGGCCTAGTTTTAGATACAGTACACATAGGTCACTCTGAAAGTGATGCCTCCTATTTATTTCCTCAGAAACCGTAACAGCTTTTAAGAGCACAATAGCATTGTTTGATAGAGGAAGTTCACAGCTGCACAACACCATTTTTCAGCACAGTCACCACCACCTGCTATGCATTTTCGCCAGCAATTAACAACAGCCTGCATGCTGTGCTCATAAAAATATGCACCAGCTGAGGTGACTGCTGTCCCCATTGCTGAAGTCCACTACCCACCACCTCACTGTGCTGACATCCACTGCTTGCTTTCCACAAACACTCAGCAAGCATCAATTAATTCCAATGGGTGCCACTATTTCTGCATGAAGGTATCCAATTCCATAGCTTTGCTTCACATGCATTTCCATGTCAGACAGCCCCCTGTGGCCATCTACTGCATGGTGATGAAGTGTAATGGAATATTAGCAAGGAAGTGTCAACTTCTACTACCATAACACCAACATCCGCCTCTGATGTCATGGCACAACATCATAAACTAGGAGGCACTATTGCTGGAGCAATCCTTCTATTTGTCCATTCTCAATAGACTGATATAACCACAATTGGAATTCTACATCCATTTACAAGCAACTGTTTTATTTGCAAGATACAGAAAAGAACTTTTAAAAAAAGTCGAGACAGTGAAGGGATCACTGATATAAATAAAAGCTAGATATGAAAGACATAAATAGCCTAAACACAAAACAAATACAATAAAACCTAGGAGTACAAAACCACAACAATGGTACAATCTGGAAATAAGGATTATTATTTAACCAAATAGAAAAATATTTATAGACAATAAGGTGAAACTAAGACAGAATGCATTTAAGATATAGACAATAGGAGTTTTGGTTATTAACAGCATCAAAAGAAGACAGTATTTGAAGACATCACTCAAATCATTAGAACATAATGTCAAACACACAATCCTATTGAAAAGACCCACTTACACTTTTGATTAGAAGTTACTTAATTTCATGAATTTTATAAATGACTTTCCTAAGCATTTTGGATCTGACTGTAGCTAGTGTGACAAGAAATGTGGTCAGTTTGCAATTAATCTGTCATCTCATTTGTAATGTGGAAAATGTACACTGTGTATAGACCTAGTTTTGCTTAATACTGAACACACCAGAATGTTTTGGAAATAACTGTACTCAATTAAAGCCATTCAGTATCGCATCTATATTCTTTGTCCAAGTTTGGAGAAACTGCCAAGTGTATCAGTTTATAAAGGGAAAAAAAGAGCGATGCTGACTATCGGCCATCTGAATAAAAATACAATGTTAATCAATGAGAACAAATCATTTTTGAATATGTAAGGTCTATTAGAAAATAGGCCTAAGGACAAATAAGGAAATATCCTCTACTATCTGGAAAATGAAAGGTGGTTGACAGCCTTATTTTAGACAAGAAAAAAATCCAAGTTGAGATTAATTAGGACAACACAGTTTCTATCTTGCCGTAAAATTGTTTTTCTGTTTAACAGAATTTTGAATCACTACTCAACATATATTGATATTCAGGTAGAATTATACTTTGGATTTCTTATGCCTTCAAATTTCCAACTTTTGGCCAAATTTGCAACAAAAGAAATGCCTCAGAAAAATGTTATTCTGTCACACTAGAAATACAATTAATTTAAAGGAAAACAGGAGAAAAAAATAAATCCAGAAGCAACAGGGTAAGTTATAGCATGATGGGATAATTTCTATCCTTATAACAAGGTAAGTTGTAATGATTCCTTGATTACTACAGGAAAAGGTTAAAGCCTGAGTTTACCTCTACTACACAGCGAATTCCCAACAGTGACCTATTTTCATCACCTGTGCTGCATGTTGTTTAATAAACAATGCACTTTCCTTATTACTTTGTCAAAGATGCACCCAAAAAGGATCACACTGACAATATGTGAGAAACGTACAACACTGAGTACTGTAGTTGAAAGTTATGGTATTCACAAATGAAAAATTGTATTAATTTTAGGACTACATACAGACTAGAAAAAAATGTGGATATCTAATAATATTTCCTTTTTTGAGTCATTGACATAGAACTATCTATTGTTCTCTTCAGACTATTTTTATTTGAGGAAAAAAATACTTAAAGACTCTCTCAAATGCATTGCGCTGTATCAAAAAAGTAAAACTAATCTATGCTGTAAAAAAATACAGTGATTTACTGTGTATTTTTCTCTGATTTTTCTTTTCAAACAAGACAAATGATTTGTCTAGAGACAAATACTGAGAAGTATTATAAAATGAAGATAAAGCTGTGATGTTGAATCAGCAAGAAAATTATGGATATATTTACATTAAAAATTAAAGTTTAAGACAAACTTTTACTGCCAATGAAATCCAAGTTAAATAAAAGAATTCATCTCATACAATTTAATTGCCACCCAACATAAAACATACAATTTTTTTTATTATTATTATTTTTTTTTAAAAGCACTGACAGATATATCATTCTAGCACTACGAGAAGAGCACTATATGTCACTCTGACTTTATGGTTAGCATTACCTTTGCTATGCAGGCAGGACAAAACCAGTCACCATCTGGTATGGTAGTGATCTTGGGTCTGTGGCAGTAGGTATGACAGCCTTTATCGCAACCATCACAAAGCAGCAGCAGTTCCTCATTATCTCCCTTTCGACATATTTGGCAGTACTATAACACATGAAAAATGGATTCAAATCAATTTGTAAGCTTTGAAGCATGAGAATGGTACCTAAATTACAGTTTCCTTTCAAACAATTCACTCCAAATTTGTTTTTTTTCACTTTACGTCAGAGTCCAGCAATAAAAGGAATATATAAAGTACGTGAGGAGCTAATCTAAAGGCTATGTGGGAAGAAAAATGAAGTCCTGAACTGGGATATGCAATGCTGAATCACCATAAGGCTTATGTCACAGATGAGATAAGAAATACTCCACTAAATACAGTAACTTCCATCAGATGAAGCCATAAGTTACCATTTACTGAAATGTTAATTATAAAGAATAATTACTATCTCATATAGAGCAAACAATTATGAGGGCTTTTCATCTTAGAATTTTCGTGATAATGGATTTGGCAAGGGAATAATCCTTTCCAGTATATTTATATTCATCTGTGCACAATGTACAGTTGATATTAAGTTTTAAAGGCAGTAATAAAAAATATATTATAGATCACGTTCTCTTAAAATAACTGTGAAAACAGGATATAGCAAAACTAGTTCAGTTACAATATTTTTTCTTAATAAAAAACACTTACAACTTTCATGATAGATTTTTCCCATGCTATCGATTTCTGTAATTGCTGAATGCACAGAGCTACCTGTGCAGCACTTCGTGCTTCTGACAATGCCTTTCTCCATACCCTTAGCCCTGGAGCAATATCCTCTTCAGTTCTGCATTGAAATACAGAGAAATTAGGTAGGTCACATCCGCGTTTGCTGATATTTGAACGTGGAACAAGCATTATCACACTGAAAGCCAAGCAATGACAAAACGTACACAGCCAATAAGTATAAGGTATAAGCAACTAAATTTGATGTAGTGCACAGACTGTGGCTACGAGCCTCAAAGCTTAGTCACATCCAGTTAAATGTAAGATAACTTTGCATTATCAACGAACATAACAAAAAATATCTTTATGAAGCACCATGCAGAATAACATGATCCATATGGATCACAGACATACAAGAAAGTACATAGATAACAAGCAATAGAAAATAGGCTCCAATTAGCAAAGAAGCACAATAAATTTTTCAAGTTAATCTCAAAAACCTACCCGTCACCATCACCACTAATGGATGGTGCAGGAGCAGGGACAGTAACTGTGCCCACATTATCCAGTTTGATCTGAATGGTGGTACTTAAGGGGCTCTTCAGATACCTTCGCTCTATGTTCCGCTCCAAGTCAGCAAGTCTGGTTACAGCTATATCTAGAGGGTTGTCACTCTTCCGCTCTAGAGAGCTGGTACTGCCTTCTCCGCCTCCAGCACTATCTCCATCGTGCTTCTTGTGCAATCTAACAATTGACTTATGTTCATGATATACCAAGTCTTCTCTTTCTGATGCAGGTTCAGGACACAGCCAGCCCTATGTTAATAGAAAGGTTTGTGCATTTATTGGTTGCTATTTAACTTAGCGTTTGAATAGAGGAACTGTTCTACAGAATCAGAACAAATAATTGAAGTGCTGTTTCCAGTACATCTTGGTAACTTGTAATCCATCTGTAGAGACATTTTCCAAAATCTCCAGAGAACTAAAACAATCAATCAAAAATATATAAGCATTACCAGACTTTCTGAAGTGAGTTTTCTGCAACATTCTGCATTCTTATCTTGAATGAAAATACTTCTTATTTTGAAGTATCTTATTCTATCAGTGAAAACATCAGAATAGGTCGGTTTCATTGTCTCAGAAGACAGTATCAATTGGTCACAGAGAAAATGACATCTACTCATAGAACATACTACATCTGGAATAGTAGGTCCATACTTGAACCAAACATACTTAGTTTGGTATCACTACTCAGTTACTGGCAGAACCCAAACCAGGCAGAAAAGTGGCAAACCCCACTAAAATTAAGTCATCTACACAAAATGAAATCTGGGCATTCACGAAAGGTTAACAAAATGTGTATGATTCTGCACGCTGTCAAAGAACTCCTCAGGAGTTGTTATTCTGATCACCTTTAGCTGAAGATACAACTGAAGGAAATATCTGAAACAGATATCCACGATAGTGCTGCAGTGGATTTGTTTCATTTGCAGACAATTACAGATGAATGAGAAGGCACTTACCAACAGCAAAAGGACTGCTACTATCTACTTTACATTCTTCCCACTTCAGCAACATTATTTTAAAAGAGAAATTTTACTAAAAGTTAGTTTTACCTTAACTTGCAAACTAGCTGATGCAACTCTCCTCTCTAGATCTTCCACCTGCTGAAGAATAGCAAGGTCCACCTCCATTGCTTGTTCTTCTACTGACCAGTTTTCCACAACATCTCGAGTTACCTGGTTATCTTCATTTTCATTGATATCAATAATTGCAACTGCATTTGAGAATCATATTTCGTTAAATTATTATAACTTCTCCAAGTAAATTCAAGCTGTTTTACCTGTCAGTCCAATTAAACGCTGAAGAATTGTTAAAGAAGTGTACGGCTCTTAAGATATCCAATACGACCATCAAATTCTGTAGAATTTCAAGCTTGCAATTTAAAGGCAAGGGAAAGGGAAGACTGAGCTATATTGTTACAGAGACAAAATGCTTGAAAAGTTATCAACACTTAAACCAATAGAGAATTTATATTTAAAGAAGGTTTTTCCAACACTAACTTCCCAGAATAAGGCTGATAAAAAGGCAACTATGTGACCTTTTACTTTTTTCAGGCTACTATGACCACCTCTGTATCCAAGCACATCCTGGAGAAATCTCAGTCAGCATTATGACGCTCCAATACCATGTGTAACATAAATACCGATTACCTACCATCCTTATTTTTGATGCAGGCCAGAGTGATATAGTCCATGTGTTTCTGTATTTGTTTTTGTAAGGCCTTTTCTCTTATTCCCCTGAGATGCAGCACTTTATGCAAAGACTTTAGGTCTTCAGGATCAGTAATCCTCCACCACCCATACTGCATTTCTAAAGCAAGACAAACATACAAATACTTAACAGGCGTTCTTCACATGATTACAATCAGATTAGAGAAATTCAATAGCGAAATTAGAAAAAATAAACTGTAACAGCATAGTGGCTCTAGAAATTATCCAGACAGTTCCACCTGATTGCCCATTCTTACCTTCTGGTATTGGTTTTGGGTTTGGGTGATCTACTGGCTTGGCCACTTCCACTGCTGTACAGATGGCAGAAGCTATTTTCTCAGTCTGCAGTGCTGGTGATTCACTTTTACTTGCAGGAACACTAGATGTCAAGAATGAGTTACTGTTCCCTTCTGGTATTCCCAACCCTGATCCAATAGTAGGTAAAGGCGATGAAAATTGAACATTTGAAGTAAGAACTCCTGTAGGCCATCCACAAAACTGAAGTCCCATGACAGGTAGTCCAGGCTTCATCTGCTACAGAGAAAATATTTTTAACACTATCACAACTGGTATTGTTCAGTACTACCAAGAAACCAGAGTTATCATTAGGATGTTAATTTTCAAGCAGCAATCAAAACTAAATGGACACCTTTACTTGCTCAGTACTTCAAGCTGTTCAGGAAACAGTCATATAACAACAATGCAGTAATTCCTATTAGAAACTGTGATTGCTTAAGGAACAGTATCATTTGAGGGCAGAATCAAATTTCTGAAATCTGTTCTTCAATACAATAGCCAAACCCCTAAAAGCAAAATCTAATTACTAAAATAAATATACAAAACGTCAGACATTGGTTTATTTTTTTTTTTTTAATTAAAAAATTGTATATTATCTCTTTTATATGGAACTACTATTAATGTTTAGAAACAGGAAGGAATAAAATAAATGAAAACATAATGATATACCGCATCTGTGAAATAATTTGGCCCAAAATAAATTCTACCAAATAAGCACAATAAATTAATACTACTTAAAACAAGTATTTATTTACCTGCAGTGGAGGCAATGCAAAAGGACTTAATCCCATTGGACTCTGTGCAGAGGTTGAGCCCAGAAGAGGTGATGGAACAGGTGAAGGTGATTTTGATGGTGGATGTGATTGAGGAGTAAGTGACGTTGCAGTAGCTGGTGTATCTACATGGGTAACTGACATGTCATCACAGGGTACTCTTGGCAAAAGGCTGAACCATTGTCTGTTCTTCTCAGTAAGAGGCTTTAACAACTGATCACTTGGAATTAATGGGGAACTATAAAACTTTCCTGTCCCGCTTGCAACAGGACTGAAAAGATTATGAGAATCGGACTTCTCGCTGCTTTGTGATACGCTGGGTTGAAGACTGCAGAGAGAGTTTTGGGAGGTATTTTGATAAGATGGAGTGCATCCATTTGCTGCACCACCATTAGGTTTCTGGGGTGTAACATCAGACTCAGGTGGCATTTTTGCAACCTCTAACAGTTTGCTTAGTTTTGAAAATGACCCAGGCTTTTGTAAAAACAAATTAGTGCTGTCCTTTTCTTTCAGATCTTCCTTTTGATCACAGTGAGTTGTACTTAAACAGCTTATTTTTTCTTCTGAGATCTCAAATACCTCTTCTTTTATATGCATGCTTTCTACATTTTTTAACTTCTCTTTTTCTTTTGCAATTTCTTCTAGACCTAAAGAAGTACAAAAACCATAGATGAAACAAACCAGACCAACTAATTTAGATCATTTTTATCATCTCAGATGAGCAATAACTTTTTTTTTTGCCTCCTTCTGTATTAAATTTATTTTATATAAACAAAATTACTTCTCACTTTCCACAACAGAGCAAATATAAAAGCACACACAGATTCTCTAACACCTGGAGGAAAAATAACATCAGTGTAGTCAACAAAGAGGTAGAATTCTTCCTTAAGATATGAGTCTGCAACAGTTTGCCAGCAAAAGACCTTTGAAATATGTATTTTTGGTGGTTTTCTTCTTGTCAGACTCAATTTGCTTTATCCTGCCATCCATACACTTACATCAGCTGGTACAATGGAGCTTTTAAGTTCATTTTTGCAAGAGACTGTTTTATTAAACTGACAGCCAGCTTCTAAACCAAGTACCATTATTCCTATTATGAAATCAAATATTCTCAAAATATTGAAGCACAACATTAAACGTTTTACCCCTTTAGATAAAAATCATTACTGACTGTGAAGTGTAATGCCAACATTCTTAACAGTTTCAAACAGACAGTTTGAAGAACTACTCAATATGACAGCCTACACACAGAAAAACAGGCAGATGCGATCAGACAATGCAGTCAGGAGTTGGTAACAAATGCCAGTTTCTGGAAATACTCAAGGTGGAGAAGACGTATTTTTAATGCACAGGAAAACCATTTTTTTCTGTTTTCTTTCCTCTTCTAGTCTTTCGTAACCATCTCTCTTCTTTTAATGTTTCAGCTTAAGACTAAGAAACATTTTTTTTGAGGGATAGAAAAAAGACAGAATAAGGGCAAGGAGTTAGAGAATTCAACACTAACTTTTAAACTTATTTTCATCAGAAAACACGCCCACATGGTCTTGCTTATGGTTAATGGCCAGAATATCCATAAAATTTGCTTGTTCATTCTAGGAAATCATAATTCCTATGAAGACAAGTAGTTAAAGAAAATAATATTTCCTCTAATTAATACTTAAAAATACTTGCAGTATACATCAAGATACAAACAACCTGAATTCCACCATAGTCAAAAGAACTATGCAAGAGAAAAGGGAATATTTTTTATTTTTAACTGGCAGTTGTCTCACGTTTCAAGTGTTTAGATAAAAGGAATTAGGAGTGGATAAACTACAGAAAGTGGTGCAACGGAAAACAAAGACATGGAAGGATGAGGGAGTAGTTCAGAAATTAAGAATATGTGCATTTGGTTATTCAGGGGAACTGAACTAAAAAAAGTAAAGATATGCACTACAGTTCTTGGCTAAAGATTTTGTGTTTTTTCCAAACTACGGTAAGACAGGCAGTTGCACTTCAGTGTTTTTCTTCATGTAGGATTGCTGCTGAAGCATCTGTGGCTTTGTTTCATTAAAATATAATAAAATATGGTGGACAACAGGAATGCAAGTGGTACAATATCTGACAGGTTACCTTTTGTACTCAGTCGATCATGGGTAAAAACAGGTCCAATAAAATTACTCAGGGCAGGAGACATAGAACTATTACTTTATGTTACTCATTAAAAAAAAAAAAAAAAAAGACAACTTGAAGATTAGGATTAGGTTTAGGACAAGTCCGTGGCTCATGTGGAGTCTAAAAGAGGACTCAAAATTGTAGCATGCTGTAGTTTTTAATTAGGTAGTTTAATTAGCTGTTTTAATTAGCTACCTTTACAGAATGATGCAATACCCTTGAGATCATGCATTTCTCATGCGCATCGGAGTTGTTGGGGTTTGGGTTTTTCTTGGTATTTCAGGGGAAAAAAATCGAATAGTGGGCATATACTTCATCTGTATCAGAATTTGAAAAGATTTTTCCATGATCAAAAAATAAAAACTGCTCGAATTTATAAATTCTAATATGCAGAAAAAGATCTGGTAATAGCAGAATTTCTGCATCTATCCAACTGAAAATGTGAGAAGATTCAATTAATCACAGTATATTTGTGTGTGAAGAACAGAAAATTACATTCAAATATTTAAATAAAGTAAGATTAATATTTACTAGTTTAGAAGAAATGTAAGTGAGCAAAATAAAGATATGAAGTTGTATTGGTGATTTAAAAGTACTTCTCAGTGTGAAAAATAATATTCACATTTATTTTATCAGACCATTGTGGTTTAACCTCAGCAGGCAGCTAAGCAGTGCACAATTGCTGGCTCACTTTTCACACCCAACTCTCCCCAGTTTTATTGCTCAGCACGATGTTATACGATATGGAACATGCCTTTCAACAGTGGGTATCAGCTACTGAGTTCTGTCCTCTTCTTGTGCAGCCCCAACTTATTTGATGGCAGGCAGGTTGAAGAATGGAACAGATCCTGGCTCTGTGTAAGCACTGCTCAGCAACAACTACAACACTGCTGTATTACCTGCACTATTTTCATTACAAACCCAGAATACAGCATCATACAAGCTTGTAGGAATAAAACTGTATCCAAACCAAACAAGTGCACAGACATGTATCAAATCTTCAAACATAAAATATTCTGTGTATTTGCACACAAAAAAGTGACAGAAATGAGTATTTCTACTACGATCATCTTGCTTTCATATGCAGAGTTAACTGTCAAAAAAATAAGAAATAGTTCAGAAAGTGACAAAATACACCAAATGTAGGTAAATATGAAAAAGTGTAACCATATGTAACTGTAACTTCTGAAAATTTACAAAATATTAATCCTCACTTCAAAAGAGATATTAAATGTCTTCCAACCAGAAACATGGTATCAGAAAGCATCATATGAATGGAAGACTTTTACTGAGTACCTGTTTAGCCTCAGGTTGAAGATGAAGCCTAAAGATCTCGCTACACAAAATTATCGCCCACGGACTGGCAGCATGTCTTGCCATGGCATGCAATGGTATCAAGTTATTCTGTTTCTTACCTTCGCCGCTTTCCATGCCTTCTACAAAAATACCACCACACTGGGGCAGAATCCAATACCGGCGCCTGTAACGATCTTGACCAAACATCATTGAACGCAAACAATGTGAGGCTTCAAATAACTTCTTTCTGTACTGGCTTTGTTGCTGTTAAAAAAAAAAAAAAAAAAAAAAAAAAAGAAGGTGTAATAATTCTATAGGTGAAAAATAAACAAGTTTTTTTACAGCTTATTGAATTCCGGTTATTCTGGTTACCAGTGACCAGAATTTCAAGACTTAATTGAGAAACTTTTAAAGGTTTTTTGTGTGTATTATATGGTACTCTTATTCATGATTGCTGTCCTGATTATTTGACTTGGAGAGATGCCTTGAAAAAAATAATTCAATCACTTCCTGATTCACCTTACGTGTATCAGCTTTCCTTTAAAAGCACATTTTAGGACCTGACATTTTTAACATTTGCTCTCACAGAAGAAAATGATTAATGAATACATTGCAAGGAAACACCTGAAATTCTATCAATTAAGGAATAAGAGTAAATGATATAAAGAGCATTTGAACATGGCCAAACAATGAGTGCTATTGCAGCCCAATGGAAAACTAATGAGATATTTTAATCAGCTCATAAAAGAGTATTCAAACAGAAAGAGTTATCTGAGGGGAGCTACCAACAATTTTGGTTCCTATGTTCACTTTTTGCTCTGCTAAATTGACACTCTTGGAAGACAGGTATAATTCTCGACTGCTAATTTTTTGTAATTTGGACATGAGAGAAACCAGGAGACAAAGTTTTCAATGACAGTCTTTCTTACAGAAAGAATAAAATATGTAATAAAAACATGGGCCATGACTAGAGCCTGACCTATAGTACTCTCTTATTTATGTTTCCTCTTCTTCTCTCATTGTTTCTTCTTTTGAAATCTGAAGCAAAGGCAGCTCTCTTCATCAGTCTTGAACAGTTGCAACAATAAGCCAACCGTAGGAAAGGATAAGAACTGCCTTCATTTGTATAATGAAAATCTCACTGTCTCTTGGACACAAAGCTTTATGATGACTTTATGCATGAACAGACAGAAGTGTATCAATTAGATCTGAACAACAACTTGTGATATGAAAAGATATAATCAACAGTTTTCTGATCACTGATTGTGTGAAATCCACTAATGCAACAAATATTTATGGACTAAAATTCAGGTGTCATAAACAGCTGTAGCATTCGTATTTTCATTAAATGAAAGTTGATCCTGATTAAAATTTATAATAAGGGAGAGCACTGAAGGCGATGGCTTGTAATTTCAGCTCTTGAAATCCCACAGTCAAATATGAATTGCAACCAAGATGATCTCTCACCTTTGTCAGTTTTTCAATCTGCTTCTCTAGTTCTTCAACACTTGCTGTCTGGTCTCCATCATCCTGTAATCACCAAACATATCGTCACACCAAAACCATCTCAGGATAAGATCAGTCTATGCCTTATTAACTTTGTAGTAGAAAAGATGTAACAGAAAATGAGCCTTCAAATGTGAAAGGCAAATGCTAAGAGTAAAAATGTTCAAATATTTGCCTGTTGAATGTATTTGACTAGGAACAACATGGCTGGAAAAAATACCTATACTTCAACAGCATCCCAGACACATATGTAGGAGAAAGATGGTGACAAAACATTGGCTAAAAACATTATTTTATTGGAAGAGAGAATTCTCTTTGTGTATAAACATCTACAGAACTTAATCTTATACTCTATGAAGCTTTTTGAATATTTGTGTATATTTCAGAGAGTTTTTTCATGCAAGAAACAACAATCTGTTGAGTTTTATCAGTCAGTCTTTCATCAGAGCATACTTGTACCTTATTACAAGGTCTACAAGAAATTGTAGGGCCACTTTAAACGACACTTTAAATCACTGTAAGAGTTCCAGTATTATCCTTTCTGATTTTTGAAGAGGAATGCACCAAGCCTATGGTTCTTCCCTCTTAGTGTAGTTAAACATACAATTTATTTCCATTAGAAGAGCTTTATTTAGTTAAAGAAAATCTTTGGGGATAATGAGAAATTTAAAAATAATCATCATCCTAGGTGCTCCCAATTACTTACAACATAAGACAATGGTTTCATATTCCATGGCTCTAATTAGAGAACCAGAATGAAGCCTTCTAAAATACTACATACAGCACAAATGCAATGGAGTACTTTTTCTGGAGGAGTTATAAGACTTCCAGAGTACCAAACTGTAAGACTGTATTTTAGGGTAGAAGATGAGTAGAAAGATGTGGGATTAGATTCCAGGATATTACCTATTTTAAACTCTGAAATACTATTTTGTAAGAAGACTGCTATACCACTAAGGTATTTTCTTAGACTCATACAAAGTAATTGTAACAAATGCAGAGGAGCAGCAAAAAAAGCTGTTCCTACTCTAGAAACTAGTTGGGTCACTAATGAAGTGACCAAAAAAATCTGAGTTCACACACTGTATGCGCATGTATTGTTCAAAGAGTCACTTGTATTTTCTATTGCTTGTCTCTTCATGCAACATGAAAAACTGGAGTTCTACAGTCAATGTTACGAGCCTATGGCATGCTACAAAAACTCATTTTGTCTACAGTAGATACAATTCAGCTCAAAATAACAATGTTCAATGATTCTTCCTGCATCTCATCCAATATCGACTAGTAAAAGCTTTATCAACTTGTATATCAGGTACAACTGAGCTCTGAAATGTACTTTCTGCAATATTCATTATCCTAGAAAAGTTATGAAAAGGCACATGGTAACAGTAGACAAGTACTGTACTTTAAAAGACAAATGTTAAATACAACTTAACATGGCTTTTTAATTAAAAATGACCTCTATTCTCCACTAATCGAAACATCAGTTTATGCTCATTTGCAAAAATGCTGTGGTTCTCAGGATCTTGCGCAAACTCTCAAAATTTCAAGAAAATTAAGATGAAGCCAAAACAAGCAGAAAGCTATCAAGTAAAGAAAAATACACTCTTGAAAAATATTTATTTAAAAAATTTAAATAAAATGGATGTAAAATATTTTCCTTCAATCTTATTGTAAGACCTTCGGGAAGTAGTGCAGAGAACCCTAATGTTGTAGGGAAACAGAAGAGAAGCAAGTTTCAATTTACCAATTAGTTCCATTTCAATATTTAAAATCTCCCACCTCATCCTCACAAACTTCTGCCTTCTTTCCTTTTTTATCTTCTTTGTCCTCTTCATCCTCATCATCTTCATCTGCCTGATCATCACTATCATCATCGTCATCATCATCGTAATCACTATCCCCACCCTTTCGTCTCCGTTTGCGGCCTGGTGTTGATGTTTCCAAAGAATGCGGCTCCTCTCCTACTTCACCACCTCCAGTAGCATCTCTTTTGCCAGTTTTTTTTGCATGAATGATTCTAAGACTTTAAAAACATGACAAGGAGTGAAATTATGGAGCTTATTTGTAGCATAACCATACCTTTCTTCCTGTGTGATTAAAAGTGAATCATTTTATATCAAATTAGCTCTTCTGTTCTGTGATGCTCTACATTTTATTACCTGCTTATTGCCATTAAGCAACAGGAAAAAAATCAGGTTACAGAAAGCCCTTAAAGCTCTTATCCAATTCTGCCTAGAATTTCTGTTTCTTCCAGGTAAATTTTCATCACATAACCACTTAAAAGAAATAGAATACAAGAGTGCTATTGAAAAGTTAGTAAAGACAATTAGAAGAAAGAACTATTTATCTTCTGTTTTATGCAATTAAGAGTATCTTTATAAAACAGCTGTCAAACAAAAAAGGGAGTGAAAAATCCTAAGCTGAACGTATGAAATTCTTTGCATTTGCATGGCAACAGCAAGGTTGTTTTTAAAGTAATTTTTTTTCATTTCAAATTTCTGTGTTGGTTTTTTTTTTTTTTTTAAATTATTATTTAGTTATTATAAATTATTTCCCTTTAGCACAGGCCTTTGGCTGATCTTTCCATTCTACAGCATAATTTCTTCTTTGAGAAGTCATGGTTACCTAAGCTATTAGGAGACTCAATCAAATCCTTATTTTTCCTTTTATGAAAGAAAAAGGAAACTTACATACCAGTAATTATAGTTGTTGTAGACCTTCTTCTTCTATAAAAACCCTATAAGACAAGATCCCACACAGCAAAAATTACAGTTCCACCTATCAGGAAGCTAGCAGGCAAACATGCTGAATCGCAGGAGGTATAGATAGCCAGGCCTAATCACTTATAATGCAGACCAAAAAATGCAACTGACTCAGAAGAGATTCATAAACGTGTAGGGAAGACAAAGATTTTGTAAGAGATGGCTGGAAGAAGGTAGGATGGGAAAAGTAGAACGGTAACGACAAACACAATTACCAGCACGTAATTCTCCCTTGTCATACTTCTCTCTCTTCCCATCCTACAACACAATATTCCATACAGCAAGTGGCTACAAACATGATGAGTGTTGTAAAAGTACTTGCTTCTTGACAGATGTACTCTGACGAAAGTATCAGCTTTTTAAAATGCTGATAAAACCATGCTAGTGCCAAACAGCACAGATTTTAATGAAGCTGTCACTGCTCAACTGGTAGTAGACCTCTTATAGCTATTTTAGTAATTCATAATATTCTGGATAAAAAAATTTCTCGAGCCTTCCAGTGAATTTGGAAGCAAGTACTATTTTCAGCTCTCGTACAGAAAGCCTTAGCTCGCTCAGTCCAACTGAGATGTCTGTCGACTTAATTTTTCAGAAGATTTTTTTCTACAGCAACTTCACACTATCAAGTCCTTTTCAGCTGGACTGGAAACTTGTGCCTATGTAACAGTAATTATCTACCAAACCAAGCCACAAGTCAGCTACTGAATTGAATGCTGTGTGATGGAACCATTTTAGAGACAAATCAGATTGAGATAATCTGGAAGACAATTCACTAAAAAAGCTAGCAGATGAAGTTCAGTGATCAGGAAACGCACTCATTCGTACATCTAAAATAAATGATAACAAATGAAAAAAGCTACTTTTGCTAGAACTGAGAACAGAGATACAATTGGTGTTGGAAAGCACCAAAGGAGAAAACTTGCATGATATTACAAGTAGGAATGGAAATAAACCAGATATGCCCTCTTTTTATAACAACATAAGCATCAGAAAGCAGCTCTTTTTATACAAAATTGTGTAGAGGTAGAAATCAATGAGAATGTGTCTTGGAAAAAATGTTCAGATTTGTTAATATGGCATAATTTTCTTGCTACTACCTAAGTGCATGGCAAACAGAAGTAAACATTCACTCAAAAAACTTTCTTTCACTCAGCTTTCTTTCATATAAAGACCAAAAAGACTTCTGTAACCATAAAGGATGCTGTGAAGTCCACTAGACAAAACAGTAGGCAATACTCAGATACGTGACTCAAGCCTGCTCTTCCTAAGCTGTAATGTTCATCAGATCATGGAAGAAAAATTCACCTTCTGATTTATTTTTTAAGCATTCATCGTAACTTCTGTGCCGAAATCAACTATTAGGAAATAGCAAGGAAAAGAAATTCTAAACATCACATTCTCTTAACATTATTCTTCTTAGCTCTCAAATAATGAAAGTTTCCCAAATCAGAATTACCTCCTATGCAAACTCGGGATATAATTCCTACCCTTAGGTAGCACTGCTTTTGATTTACCATCATCATTTACAGTTGAGATGGTCTCACTGGAGAGTGAGCTTATAAGTGAACTTATAAGATGCATGGCATAATACTGGCATGTTAAAAAGAACGTTGTAATGAAAATCTTGTTCTGCAGCATTTCAAAGTTTTGTAAAGAAACAGGTATTATCCTTAAAGAAGCTATGCTCCATTTTTTAAATTGATTTTTATATTGACCAAGTGACAAAGGTGATGTCAAGAAGAAGGCATGTAATGGAAGAGGAGACACTGAAAGTTACGATTATCTAGTAATAAAATCAGCTGAATCACCTCAGGTGAGACAGTCTTCGACAATATCTGTGATATAGAAAGCACAAAGATGATTTGACCTGATGAGACATGCTTTTTTTTGAAGGCACTAGATGCAACCTCACATTGCACAGAAGCCAAAGCAGATCAGAGTTCAGTTTCTGACCATAAATGTTATACTTATCAATGAATTCAGTTCACATCCTTAAAGAAAAGGAAACAAAAACAAGAAAAAAAAAAAAAAGAAGAGAGAGAGAGAGAGAGAGTGAGAGAAAAAAGAAAAGAAAAGCCTCCCTCCAGGCTTTTGACTCCCCTTTTTCAGCCATCATTTTTTTTATAAATCTTATCAACAGAATTTTTTTATGCGTGTGTGTACACATACATATAAACACATGGAGATTTTGTGTGTGTGTGTGTGTGTCTCTGTATACGTGTATATATAAGTATATACACATTTTTTTTTTTTTCTTTTCCTTCTGATATTCTGCATATCCAGTTGAGGAGCTAATCTCATCAAGAGCTGGAGCATAAGCATAAAAAACAATCCGTTCATGACAAAACCTTCTGACACATGCAGAATCTCTTCTTATCCCACTTGGATGTGCTTTAAGGCAATCTGGACATGATATGATGATTTACACAGCATACACAGACAGTCTGGTAAACCAGGCTGAGTTGATATACATCCATTTCTTAGTATCCTTCATTCTACTACTACATGCTTTCCACATGATGAGTTTGTGTTTTGAGGGTCATGTAGAGGTTTGTGTGCATATAAGAAGAGTACACATCCATTGATAATGTGGCAAGTAGTCGAAAGACCAGATATTCCTAAAACTATTTGGAACTGGAATGTTTAAAAACTAGACTGAGCCCAAATGGTTGGGGAAGATAACATACAAAAACCTGCAAGCAGAAAAAAGATCAAAAAGACGACTTAAATGGACAGGTTTCTTTTCAGAGAAGCCCCAGAACAGCTCTAAGAGATTATAAAAGTCATCATCTGACATACAAAGAGCACACTGTTTTAAACTGATCGATGAAGGCTTTTCTTAAAAGCTTCTGAGAATTCATCAGAAAAAAAGTGAAAAATTCAAAGATCTTGAATCAAGGATGAGATAGGTGAGTCAAGTCTAGTGACTTCAAAGAAGCAGAGAACGTCTCAGAACACTCCCACAATACTTACACTTTACAGTAGGATCAGCACTACTGTTAGCTCATATCCACACAGGAAGGGAAAAAGGAAAAAATAGAGGAATGATTGTAGAAATGAAGAGGAGCATGAGACTTTAGGGTCTTATTCCCCACTATCTGAAGGCAAAGAAAAGAAAGATGAGAAAAAGGAGGATTCTAATCTACAAGTACTTACAGTTCGATGGAGGGAGAGAAAGACTAAGTGGCCCCATGGGGGACAAGGACAGGCAAGGGTCCCATTCTATTAAGGAATAATTGGCTAAATAGGACTTTACTGACACTTCTAGAACTATGTAGAATTACAGGATGGGTTACAGATGAAGACAGGAAAAGGCATGTGTACTATGCTAAGAGATAAAATGCATTAAGCCTGCATAGACTGGGATTTGTGTTATTAGTAGAGAATTTCTTTTTATTGGTCTTATTTTTTCCTCTACCTCCCTCTTGTCCTTCTTCTTTACTTCTTCCTTCTTCCTTCGCAGATACATTAAAGGGAAAAAAGGGAGAAACAAGATTAGAAACGTAAGTACCTAAAGCAAGGGGTTAAGGAAAGGATTCACCATTCCTGGTAAGAGGTGAAGATGACCAAGAAAAAAGAAAGTAGAGTCTGGCTATGCATTTTTACCACCTGTGATTCATGAAATTTATGCCTTCCAGCTTCCTGGTAGTTGGAGCCATTATGCTTGCTGTATGGAATTTTGTCTTGTAGGATGGGAAAACAGTGGGTATGAAGCTGAAGACACTTTAAAAATTCCAATTTTACCTTAAATAAAAATATCAAAATATCTCAATGTTTGCATGCTAGAGATGATCCCTAAGTATAGGGAATGATGTAACAAACATAAAATGGAAGTGTTAATATTATGCAATATAAATTGGTAAAATTTGATGGGTGACTGTTGCATGAAAACCATGTTTTAAAATGCCTTTCAGAAGGAACACTTCTAAGTATGGTAGGTCCAAATAAACTGATAATGTCAATCAAAATATGACAGCTCCTGTAATATTCCAATAGATTTCACTTTTTTTTTCCCAAAGAATACAAAATGGACTTAACTCTAATTATGAGGAGCAAAATCCACTGAAGCTCATGCTTCTTTACCACGTTATATAAGACTGGTGCAGGACCATTCTAAATTCACATCCATCTGAATTTGGTACTTCAGTTACTAACTTCTTGGTAAACCTGTAATGCTACCAGCTAATTTTGTCCTTAGAACCAACAGACCATATAGCAGCATATATGAGCAAATGCAAAAAAGCAATACATAGTAATACTTAAGGAAATGAAACTTACTTCCGAAGTTTGCCTTCAACCATCCATTTATCTCTCCTCAAGTTCGACATATAGTCAATATTTTTATCAATTTCACTGTCAAAGACAAAATAATCCAAAGGTAATTGAAATACCATTAACAGTGCACTTGCATGTCTTTTCCTGACAAACATTTACAGAGAGATTTTTTGTCTCAATAAACTATCTAGATAAACACTTAAAATACAAAAGAAATAATTTTAAAGTTAGGAAGTTCCAATATTAGAAACATCTGTGCAGTGTGCAATGTACAGACATCAGGCAGTTTTTATTTACAATATGATACAAGTCTGCAGAAGTACGTAATTCAAAGAATTTGACATTTCTTCTAATGGCTTGCATTTAATGTGAAGCCTCCAACTGCATTAGCCAAAAAGCATCTTGCCCTACACACAATTTATCACAATACATATACAGTATTTCACTGGGATCTGTTACCTACAAACTAACATCTGTCTTCCTGTATAGAAACAGGAGAACAACAGTGCTTAGGTGTAGTAAACTCTCTGGGAACCAACATCAGAGAAATTCCAGACTCGACAGTTTAGCAGTTTATACTTGTTTAATTGATGAAAATAAAGCACAACCCAGTTTTGAAAGACTACTATGAATCTGGTTTTACAGTTGTTCGTCTACAGTAAGTGAAGGAGTTCCTTGCTGTCATTAATTTGATTAAATGCACATTAACACTCTTACAAAGTACTTGCATAGCACTTGCACCACTCAACTTGCCATTTCCCAGCTTTTTAAAACACAAAGAATTTCTTTCATTCTTACATTGCACAAGACTGGTTAACTTTTGCAGTGTATCATACACCAAAAGACACAGAATTGGCAATGCAACAAAAGCAGTATTCAATTTGGTCATATAAGACTATCACAGTAAGCAAGCACATAGAGGTGTAGATATCCCAAAGGCTGCCACTTCCTAACCTTTCATCACATATTGCTAGGTGTTTGTATGTTTTATGTGACAGCTTCATTTACTTATAGAATGCTATACATCACTGACTACACAAACTATACACTTTCTTGAATTACTGCCACAATAAATTAGGTTTCATACTTCAGCTTATGATCTACTTTGCATTTGAACAGAAGAGGATTTCAAAAAAAAAAAATCGAGAGGAAAAGAGAGTATTACAGAATCATTGCACAACTCTTCTTAATTATTCCCCAGAATACTTAGTACATTTCTTTGTAATCAATCACATCTTCTCCAAGAACAGAATAAATTTTACTTCAAGTTTTGAAAGCAACAACAAAAAGCAGACCAAGCAAGGAAAACTTCTAATCTTCCAAAATATCAGAAGTATGTAAAGACAAGAAGTAGTGAAGCATAATTCAGCTTACTTTCTAAAAACATCAAGAAACATCTTGGAACAATCTGTACAATGTTTTTAAATATAACATTTAAATAGCTATTTTTACATATTTGTTTGAGAAGTAACTTACCTGACTACACTTTTGCTGCAAGCTAACTCATTGACAAGGAAAGCTAGCACTGCTGCTTTCTGAGCTGGAGTATGTGCCTGAAAAGCTTTTGTCTTCAAGCTCTCTGTAAGCTCAGTTTGCCCACAATGAGCCTCCATAAATATCTGCAAAATCTCAGACACGTTATCTCGATTGATGCCAACATTCAGTAAGTGCTCCCCAAGAATAGTTTTAGCCTAAAAGAAGGATGTTTCAATCAATCACATTTGAAAATGCTATTTTCACTGCACTCTGCATTACTATTTATAAAATAGTTATGTGGTTTTATTTGCTTTTGTATACAAGGACTTCAGTGAGGATATTTCTTTTGACTACTCAAGTGAAAATCATTAATGGAGGGAAAAAGAGAAGGACCACTCCTTTACATGTTGTTAAGAATAGAGATAATACTAATATTAAATAAACAAGTTAAATAAGAAAAGGCATGGTTCAGGTAGACCATTTCACACACTATGAAGAAAGCATTCATAAGCCTAGGATTTGGGTTATTTTTTGTTTGGTTGGATTGCTGTTTTTTTTTTTCTTAATTATGGATTATTTTTTCATTACCTTGTATCCTGTAACAAGTCCTGGATCACAAACAGCTGCAGAGACAAGCTTTACAAGCAAGTCTTGTACTTCTCCTCTGCTGTCTCCTATGTTCAGCAAACCTTCTTGAAGAGTACTCAGGGAAGGCACATCCGTATTCACGTCAAAGCCAAGAACTTTACCAAAGTTACGCAAGAACTGTACTATCATGAGACAATCTGAAAATGTGCTTCCAGACAGAACAAGGCCTGGGATGCGAGGCAGCTCTGGCAAAGGCTGAAATGGGGAAAAAAATAAAAAATCAGTAGTATATTTCAGAGGGTAACTTTTTTGATTAGTACTTTCATATGACCTACAGCATATGAACAATAGAAGGTGAAGACAATATAGGAGCTGCCCCCCACATCCCACCTATGAATTTAATATAATGCTGAAATACCCTTCATTAACGTTTATCTTTTTCACTTATTTTAGGAGGGCATCGACTAACTAACACTTCTTGTATAAGAAAGCTTTCAGACCCTATCTGGAGCCAAAGTACTATAAAAGGTGGTATTAAAGATCTCTGGGAGCAGTAGGGAGTGTAATTCTCCTCAGAAAGGTATCAAGTTCTCTTGATACAGGTGAAGTCCTGAAGGACAGGAACTAAAAGCACAGAAGCCTGGAAGAACAGCATTTCAACAGGGAATAATGGCCTGTAGTAGTTGCACATTTGAGAAAAGTTCTCTTCAGTCCCTATATATTGAGAAAACAGGCATGCATCTCAGACTAATGTAAATCAATTATGCCAATACACTTCAGGAAAAAGCCCACCTTGAAGCAAAAATGTGTTTTAACTAAGGAAATCAACACCACTTCAGAGTTTGCTTTATATTGTATTTATATATTTCAAATAGTAATATAATTATCCAAATCAACACTTGAATGCTTTGGCAAGAGCTGTAAGAAAAGTTCATATTTTCTCAAAGACAGAAGACAGAAAATAAAATGGCTGCTCAGAAAACAATGCCTTGCATGTTATTATGTTGGCCCACGACATCAAAGGCAGACGTAGGTGGTGTGGAAGTAGAGGTTGAACCTTCCCACCAATATTACATTACATTTTGCTGCTGGGCAACATATGGCAGCAGATAGGCATTCTGGCAAGATGGAGACTGACATGCAAGTGTGGATGAAGCAAAGGTGTGAAACTGAATTCCTCCATGCAGAAAAAAATTGCACCCACTGATATTCATTGACACTAGGACACTTATGGTGCCCACACAGTAAACGTGAGCACGGTGAGGCAGTGGGTGGTGAGTTTCAGCAGTGGCAACAGTGGTCACCTCCACTGGTACATATTTTTACAAGCATAGCATGCAGGCTTCTCTTCATTGCTGGCAAAAATACACAGCTAGTTGTGGTGAAAAATAGTGTTTTGTAGCTGACAAGTGTCCTCTAACAAATACTGTTGTTGTGTTTCTTGTATCTATTGTAGTTTCCATAGTAATAAGTAAGAAGCATTACTTTCAGAGCGACCAACATACATTTTAAACTATTAAGTTACCTTCTGGTCTGCTAAGCACATATCTTCATTAGGCTTCTTTAGTTCTTTTGCCATTTCTAGTTCCAGTCTTCGCTGTTCCAGTTTGCGTTCTTTATTTAACCTTTTTTCGTCACGTTTCTCTTGCTTTAATCGCTCTTTTTCCTTCAGGAGAATTAAAAGGGCAGAGAATAAAACCCATGACTATTTACAGAGGAACAATCTAAGAATTTGAAAAGCATTATTTATGTAATTTCAATAATTACTACAGCAAATAAAAGAATGCACTGAAGTAAAAGAAAGGTGGAATCTACACAAATAGAATCCCTCAGTTTGACCTGCAGGTCCTTGCTCAGCCATGCTGCTTTCCAGCCTCCTTTGCTTGATTTCTTGTGCTGGGAGACAGAGAGCCCTTGTGCTGTCAGAAAGGCACCTTTGAAGAGCTGCCACCTCTACTCTGTTCCTGCCCCTAAGGACTGCATCCCAGGGCATCTCATCCAGTGATTCCTTAAACAGCCAGACATTTGCTTGACTCCACCCATTCACCAGGCCCAGATTCCTTGAGACCACAAACTCAGCCAGGGCATGTTTTTTCTACAGCCCATTGCCTCCAATCTTAACCTCTCTAATGAGCATTGGTGAACACCACATCCAGCAATAATTCACCTATGGTTCTTTTGTCCAGTGCCTGTACCAGGAAGTTATCCTCAAAGACATCTTAATCCAAATGCCTGTTTAGTTTTTCTGGATTACAATCTGTTACTTTTAAAGTTAAATTAAATTCATGAACATTCTTTAGTGTCTAAGAGAAGATTCAACTATTTCTCTGACAAACAGATGATATGGTAATGGCTATATTACTTCAACCTCTTAACTATGTCTACTTTATCTATCTCATCTCTAGCATAAGTAGTCACCAGATTTCACATACAAAAAATAGTTTCATATAGAAAATATAAAAAGTAAAAAAATTTAGATACTATATTTTAGCACTGACACTCCCTTGAAGATAATATCAGGGTTTTATTTGCAAACAACCTCCCAAGATGAATCAAGATGCACATTAATTTATCCTTGTCTACTAAAGGTGGACAAAGAAAGCTAACTTAGTCGCAAACATAAGCATCTTCACTGCAAATGTTTGTCTTATGAAGGCTATAACCTACTTCCTTCTGCAGCCTTGTAATGAAATTGAGTCCAGACTTTTGAACTAGTTATTCAGCTAACTTCTATCAGGGTTACAATAGCTTATGGGCACAGAAACTTCATTGTCTTTCAAATGGTGCTATGACTAAGAGGAATATTTAACTAGTTAAGGGCCTGATTTGTGTACTTGATAGAAGTACTTTGATAGGTACTGGTTTAGGTTGTGCAGATGCAGACTACCAGCTTCTCATGAATGCTTTTTTCCCCACCTGTAAGCAAGCCATCTAATAGTCTTTAATTTATAAGCAAGGTGGCAATCTGAATTACCAAAAGCACTTCAATTTTGCAGTAGAAAGAAGAAGAAACACCTTAATTCAGTTGGCCAACAGACAACCAGTTAAGCAGTGCAGAAGGTGTGAAGAATCTTCATCACTAGTCCTCATAATACTCGAGTGGTATCAGATCCAGTTCTGATACAGTAAGTTTATATAAATGAAAGCAATCACCAGAAATACTAAGAAACACTTTTCATAAGCAAAGTGCAGCAATGTTGAAAATAGTTGAATGGTTTTCAGAAACAAAACAAAAAATCTAGATGTTTAGATGGTCAGCATCAGAAAAAATCTGAAATTTTGTGAAGTGAAATCAAGCAGTGTTTTGTTCTAAGCTTAGTGTTAATATGTTTTAAAAAGAAAGGAAGCCAAGTAATTAGAATCACAGCAAGATAAGGCAAAATGTTTGGACATAAAATAACACGAACATTTAGGACTCTACCACCTGACTGAGAATTTCAGACTATGTATTTTAGTAAAGCAAAATGAAGCATGTGTCTTCTGAAATGCAACAGTATGTTCTAAGCTGAAAAAATGCATTTATTATGGTGTAATAACCCTATCTGCATCGTTTCACGCAAAATCTGCAAGTCCAATAACTTTGGACTGGAATAAGATGTGCAATCTTACCGCTAAGTACTGAATAAAAGTTGTTCAAGAAGTCTGACAAGTATGATTATGATCTGTCCATATACACAAGAATAACAAGAAAGAAAAAAAACCTTCCATTCTAGGAAATACTGAGGACTGTGAAGTCACTACACAGTTCTTGATGTCTTGTGACAGAAAGACATCGTCATCGAGGGTGAAAGGAACCTTCTGAGATCATCCGGTTCCCCCTCTGCCCATTAGAAAGCCCTCTCAAGTAGGCTGAGCTTCACAGCTTCCTTTGGGTCCTAGTGTTAAACCATCCTCAAAATAAACAAACTTTTCTTATGTTTAAAAGGAATTTCTTGTATTTAAATTTCTGCCAGTTGCTTCTTTTCCTGGCTCTGCGCTGAGAACAAATGACACACACGACTGCAACTACAGGTAAATGAAGGACAAAGCTCTGTTACAGATCACCATGGAGTGAAATACTGAAAACATCAAAACTGTCAGAGGTCAATTACTCACTTCCGCTTTTTTACGCGCTTCCATGGCTTTCATAAGCATCATATGTTGTCTTCTCCTCTCTCGTTCCTATTGAAGCAGATAAGATTAGAACAAAACTAATCCCACACATTAATATCAGTTAAAAAGTTGAGTGCAAGTTTAGCATTAATAGACAAGTCACAGTAAATACTAAATATAGAATGGCCAAGTCTGTGCATGTTTTAGTTCAGGTTTAGAAAGCAAAATACAAGAACAATCAAAAGCAAAAAGGTAAAGCAATGAACATGAAGACAGTGTAAAAAAGAAGCATACAGATTTACTTATGGTCAGTTGTGATGCTGCTCCTTCATAAGCTGGCAGAACAAAAAGCATAATGGTTGGCTGGAACAGGTCAGTTACCTTACATCTGCTATTAGGGAACTTGATATTTACTTTTTCAGTAGCCAATTCAGCAGAAATCTTTAAAATGTTTGTTCTAAATATTGCAAATATTAACATTTTTACGATCAAGCAAAAATTAGATGAATTTTTGCAGCCCCAGATCAGTTCTAAACAAGCTAATGGTGGCACATATACATACATGCACTGAATTTATTGATGTCTTTCCCTCAGTAAACTTTGTCAACTACTTCAAATACATTAAGGAGCTGCATTCTAGAGCAGTATGTATATTTTTTTCTTAAAAACCTTAAAAGCTGTAGAGTAGATCTTAATGCCAGTTAAGCAAAGTAAATTCTATCACCTAGTTCAGTGAGGCTACAATTATCAGTTAATGTTTCACTTAACAATTACAATGCTATTTACTCTGACAGCTAATTTGTTCAGCACTTTGCAAACTTCGGAGAGATACAATCCTGACTTCTTAAATCAGTTAATCCAAATCATTGCTAAAATCCTCTGGATACATTCCCAACGAATGGGACAATGCTTAGAAAATTATTCATGTGACAACCTACTTATGTTTGCATTTGTTATTCCCTGATTTTATACATTAGTCCAACGTACATTGGGACATCAGCAACACAGATTACAGTTTAGAAAGTCATTTATAGATTGTCACATTCTATTTATATGTTTGAGACATCTTTTTTTTTCTTAACAGACAAGACAAGCAGATGTATGCAATGCACTGCGCTGTAAAGCCATGCAGCAGTATGTAATATGACAGCAGCCAGTGCTACATTTTATGCATTGCTATGACAACCATATCACAACCAAATCACAATGCGGTGTTAGATGTACAAAAATAAACATACCCATACCATATCTAGTCTATGCCTCTCCAACTCCTGGTAGAAAGAGTTGGCACAGTATTATGAAACAGAAATCACAAAGTCATAAAACCACTTTAAAATCCCCCAAAAGACCCCAATACCAAAGCAAGCAACAAATCATAAGATGAAAGAAAAAATGTGCAGGAATCAAACCCAAAAATTTTAAAAGGGCATATTTTAAAGATTTTTATCCCCCATACAGCTTAAGTACTGGTTTATAATTGGCATTCTGCCTGCTTGGTCAACTAAATGCATACTCACCTGGTGCTTGAGAAGAACAGCTTGTTGCCTTCGCATCTCTTTTTCCTTAAACAAAAGAAATGTATTTAACGTACCAAAACGTACATCCCAATATGCACATGTATAATGAAACTGCACATCCCAACAAAAATTTTATTTCATATATCGGCTACAGAAGAGTAATTGCACGTATTCTGAGTTGGGAATTCAGTGTTAAAGTACACCAAGAACAAACACTAAAGCAGTAAGAGAAGTGCACATATGAACTATTTCTTCCAGGGAAAAAGCAAAATGTTTTTATACAGTGTGCTTGAAAAAATATTGTGAATAATGCTGCTGTACAAGTATTTCAAGTTATGCAAACCAAATATTACGTAAGAAAAACTTCAAGTAACAGTATACAAAAATAGCATCTGCATAAATGTGCTTTTCTGTCTTTGTGTACATCACTTACATCTACAAGATGGTGTATGTTACACATCTAAAAAACATATATATTCTAACAAATGTATTCCTGTCATATCTATTCAGTTCCATACTCAGTGAATAATAGCTCCTGATTTTCTCTATTAACATGTTATTAAAAATAACTCACATCTGCAGCAGATCTAAACTAACCTTTATTCGTTTTTCAGCCTCCAGTAATTTAGCATTTGCTGCTTCTTCTTTCTTCTTCTTTTTTGCCTGTGCACGCAAAATAGATCACTCAACAAGAACATCACAATTTGAAAATAATCTGTCTAGAAATAAATTACATCTTAAAGCATTTGAAGTGACATTATATATTAAGAATACATTCCAAGGAATTTCTTCCTCACGTCGCATAATTATTCATAATTGATTTTAATTCTTCATTTGGCTCTTATAACTATCAAAATCAGAACACAGAAAAAAGAAAATATAAGTACCAAAAAGATGAAACTATTATTAGTAAACTTGAGAACTAGCAACCTATCTCTGTTACTCTATTATGATACCAGCATAGTATGCAGGTATAATACATATTTTGCAGCACATGTATTTCTATAAGTGTTTTAAAACTGCTGCATTTCATTCAGTGTATGGCATGATCCTGTGTTAACATCCTAATACTGTGAAGTTACACAGCTGAAGTTAGCAGCTTAACTATCCTATTTCTATTGGTTTTTGGATAACAAGACTATTTGTGCAGGAAGTAAGGAACTCATGAGTATTTCCAAGATTTGATTTTAAGTTAGATTTATTTCTATTCTTTTTTTTTTTTTCTTGTAAGATGAAATATTCAATACCAGAATTTTTTTTATCTGACCCCCTAAGTGCATGTTGTTAGACCTGCTTACTTGGTTACACTACTCGCTACATGTGTGACTCCTAAAGGACAGCATTCTTAAAAAAAGAATTGTATTATTTGAGCCATTATGTCTACCTCTAAAATTTGTTGAGCTCGAAGTTCTTTCTCCATTCTGATTTGCTGGATACGCTTAATCTTTTCCTACAAAGGAAAGAAAATTGCTTGTCTGATCTGATACCCCTGAAGGAACCAACACTCACAGCTATGCATAGATGCACATGTTTAAGAAGTCATAGCAGTATTTTATTTTTTTTTTACACCTTTAAGAGGACCAGATGACTCTGTAAGTGAACTAGCAGCATTCAGTCCTAACAGGCAATGGTAGAGATACCTAGGAATGAACAAAAATGGGAGCTCTACCATGAAAAGGGTAATTTGATGCAACCTCACCTAATAAGATATAGACATCTCAAATCATTAATTTCTACCTTTGTTCTAGTGATTTTTCAATCAATTTTGGGGCAACATGCAGAATCTGAGTACTGCTAAACCCAAAGTATGTCAACCAGTAAGCGTCACACCTGTGTAGCATGGAGAACACATTCACAATTAAGTGGACTTTAGTATTCCCAGATAGAGACTTTGGGTTTTGATAGATTTGGATGTCTTAATTTGTAGTGTATAGGAATGAATTTTCTACTTGCTGAAGAGTAACAAGAATAACAAGAAATCAACTTGAGGCAACAGCCTCAAGCATGTTTCATTTCACACACACACACAGGCTAAAAAAAAAACAACAAAAACTACAGAAAAAAAAATCAAGCTAAGCAAACTTGTAAATTTTATTTAGAGCTTTAAAAATATATTCTATATTATGAAATACTAAAGAGTTAATTAGCAATCTCAATTTACCTGCTGCTTCATTATCTTTATCTGCTCTTTTTGCTTTCGCTTTTCCTCAGCTGCCATAATAGCTTTAAAAAAAAAACAAATGAAAAATTAGTATCAGCAGAAAATGATGAAGGACAGATAACTTCACATCCATAGTTTTCAAAGTAACCTCTCACAGGTCTGATGCATACCTTGCTGTTTTTTGGCTTCTTTGGCAGCTCGAGCTTGTTCCTGCTTCTGGAGTTTTCTCAGTAGCTTTATCTGTGCTGCTTGTCTAGCTATTTCTGTTACAACAAGGAAAAAGTTCATAAAAACAGTTCTCTCTAACAATAAGGATAGAACTCATATTCCCATATATGTGTGTGAAGTGAAGAACAAGAAATCAGTTGATTTATTTTTGCATGTTTTATCTTGAAAACATTCAACTACCAACTACTGTCTGTGGTATCTACACACTGATATGAGCACTGTAAAGTAGGTACGCAGCAGAAAAAGAATATGAACAATTTCTACAAAAATTAATGCACTACTTTTGGAGAAATTTATCCATGAAGTGTGAGACAGCACCCAACTAATAATGCTGCTTTGTTTAAAAGCCAATTTCTTTCTTTTTAAAAAAGAGATAACTTGTCACAAAGCACTAGATTAACCTTTAATTCAGAAATCCTGGAATTACTGTTTTCCTTATTTGTTACCTAGTCCTGTTCTCTCCGGCTTAAATCATACAACTTTGTCCTCTGCCTATTGAGATCAATTTTCCTTCATTCAATCATAAACATGGTGTAGAGGTAGAGGGGAACATAAGATTCTCAGGAGGGTGAAAAAGCTAATTTCTAGTTGCAGTGTTGTTTGAGCTGGTAATAGAAACCACACAGAAAGCTTTTTGCTTATGCAAATTTAAAATAAAAACATAAAGAGCATTGGATGTCTGCTTTTTTAACCTATATAACTAAATAAAGTAATTACAGAATAAACTTTCAGACACACATCTGCGTGCTCACGCTTCTCTTGATTCATATATATTTACTGATCATGAAATAGGAAAGGCCTTCAATAAAAGCATTTGACAAAGTTCTAAAATGAAATGTTGTATATTAGTAAAATATATCTCTTCAGAAAAAAACATTAACTCTCCATGCACTGACGCTCTCATGTGTTTGTGAAAGCAGTAAAGCACTCCTTACCTTGCGCCTGTAGCTTTCTTAAAAGCTTCGCATCAGTGTTGTCTAGAAATTCAGTGCTTCCAACGTTTGGAGGTCGGCCTTTGCGACGTCTCATTCTTGATTCCTCTCTAGAATGCTGTCTGTCTGGATTTGGTGGTCGTCCTCTACGCCCTTCCATAGCTCTGATGCAGGGAATGACTTCCTCTTCCTTCAGAAGACACCACTGCACGCCCTTTTAATTGACACATTTCACACAGAAGTATTATAAACACAGAATCAAAAAAGAAAAGACATCTGAGAACAAGAATAGCGTATGCTTTTGTAAGATAAAAATAAAATATAAATATATGTTTTAATATATATTAAACCCTTCTATATACATAAAGTTCTAATGAATTATATATAGAGAGCAGCTGGGATGGACTATCTGAGCCGTACAACGTTTCAGTGATGCACAGAAATGTTATATTGACAGCTTATCACTACAGAGCATTTCACAACTATACTACGATGCAAGATATTGAAATCTACTCAGTGGCATTCACAAAATTACACAGCAGCAGCACCACTGATGCATTACTTTTAATTATTTTAGGCCACACTACTTAATGCTCTACTCACGTTTAAGCAGAAACAAATTCGTCCATATAAACCAAAAAATAACTGCACTGCTTTCAGAGAATCCACTGCTCCATGCAAATGAAAAAAAGTCAACGTATGGATCACTGTCCTCCAGTTTAAAGTACTGACAGAAACTTTGTCATAAAGAAGAACAAAATGAAGTGGTCCATCCACAACAACTGCTTTGTGTGCTGTGTATCTTAGTTTTACAACAACTGCGCCAAAAAAAGCAGGTTCATTTTAAGTCTGAAGTATTTAGTACAACTTAGTTCTTCCTCTCTTGTGCAAGAAAATTTCTGCACCAAACTGAATTGAAAGAAATCGGAAGCTTGTAACTTTTCATACTCTGTCTTAACCAGAAGCTATAGAAACTACATTTTCCAACTTAATAAAGCATGAAGCAACTTGTTCAACCACTTCTTTCACTATGAATACTATTTCTTCATGCAGTCTCAAAAGCAAACATTGAAATACTTTGTTAGAAAAAGCTGTCCTTCAACTGTAGCTACTGAGTGTAACAGTAGCTCAGCCTACCGATCCTGACTTAACACCCACTACGTCACAACTGTATCCAGGCTGGATGGGCTGTCAGCAACCCGGTCGGTGTGTGTCCCTGCCTACAGCAGGGGCTTGGAACACGGTGATCTTAAAGGTCCCTTTACATAGAAACTACTCTCATGTTTCTATGTAACAGATTTTATCATTTTCAAACAATGGAAAAAATGGAAGTAACTTTTGGACTCCGCTGTAATCTAGCCTAGAAAGTTTGTTAAAAGATTTTGGAAATGTCTGTTAAATCAAGAATTGATTTTGGTAGCATATAAAACACTTTTATTAAATATATGTTCACAAAAAAATACAATTGCATTACCAAATTTTCCTCATTTGAAAGTGCATAAGTACTGAAGCAAGCATAAAATACATCATCGGCTTATTTTGTCAATTTACTTTTAATGCTTTTTGCTTATTCTTCACAATTTACTAGAAATGTTTAAGCCTGAACCACTCCCAGTCAGGACCATCATAAGATTACATCTCACACTCAGTTTACAGATTCCAAAGGGCTACATTATTATGGTCTTAAATACCAGCTGTTCAGAACCACAATCATATCACAGCATGCACAGTACATCACTGCAAAGGACTATTAAGTTTAATCACGTCTACAACTAAAAAAAAAAAGTCATTTTCTTACAAGAGAAGTGTGCATTGTTCATTTTACTGCTCAGTACCTGCCTTGTAGTTTACGAAGCTGAGCAAACCAAGCTAGATATAATACCATATTTATCACGTAGACTAACATTGAACCTATGAAATTTCATAAATCTTATGTAACCAAAAAAGCAAACAAACAAACAAAAACTCATTCAAGAAACAGAAGAAGCTGCAGCCGTGGTTCAAGTACCTTGGATCCTGAAATGGAGATTTCTTTTGCTTTCCATTTAATTTTCTATGGTCAATAACAGTAATGATAACAAATGTTCAGATCTCTATCTACAAGTCTCTGAGATCATTATTACCACAAACTGTGGATGCACATTGCAGTCATGTAATCCTCACAGTAGAGAAACTAAAAGCTAACAAGAATAAGATTCAATAAGCAATAAGAACCAGCATTTCAAAAAAAGGAAAGAAGATTACTTAACATCTTGCCAGATACTGTGATTAAACATGTTTTCACAAGCTTGAGATAGGATTTCACAAAAATAGTTTAAACAAGATCCACTGAGAGACACTGAGTAGACAAACTACATAATAGGTCCCAGGACAGCCCTGTACCTGAAAACACATGGACACACATGGATTTATTATTCCTACAGGTGTGCCAACTTTATTTTCCCCAAGGCATTCACTGAGCTACTGCTGGAGACAGAACACAGGGCTCAGCACAACTCCTGGTCTGTACCAGTACGGCTGCTCTTTTATATTGAAATCACTGTGCTTATAGAGAATAGAAAGAAATTTACTGGATTAATAATTACTGATTTTCCAATGGTATCTGATTTTATTTTTAAGCACAGAAATCACAGCAAACTGATGGAGGTCATTCAATTACCTAAATCTTTTATAAATTAAGTGACAATTGAGGGTGTGGGGAGGAACGCATTAGCACATCGTAGCTGCACAATATTCTCTTCTTTCATATGGCATTGAGGAAGGAGAGTTTTCAACTGGAATAAACGCACACTAATTCACTACTGAGTGTGCTGATATATGTCAGTTCAGAACCCAAAGCATGTTTCCATCTTTTATCAATGACTTCAAAAGGCCATCTGACAGTTGCCATGCTAACATCTAGTTGATAATTTTCATTCTGTTTTAAATAAAGTTTAATGCTCGAAACAACTTGGAACCCATTTGTAATTGGTTCAGTGTTTGGGTGACTCAAATGTCATGGAAAAGAGAATCTCATGATAAGAGAATGTAAACAGAAGTCAACATCTTTATTTCTTATTACCCAGATTTCATACAACAAAATAAACACTACTTTGAGTCTTCTCTTGATATTCTTTTAAGAAAACGTGCCTGAATAATCTAACTCTCATATATCTCACTGCTGTGAAATTCTCACCACACAAGTTGATAGTTTCATTTAATCATGTATTAAAATAAAAATAACTGCAATATTGGCCGTGAGCTACACCATATTTAGCCACTGTGTCATTACAGCAGTTTTGTATTTTGAAGAATACAAAACCAGAAAAACAAGAAATAAAGACAAGAAATAAAGAATTTCTGCATGTAAGTTCTGTTGCATATGACAAGGGCAAGCACTCTGCAACGAACAACTACAGAGCAGTATGACAACATCTCTCTCCATAGAAGGCAATAATTAACTACCTGTGTTTTGGGATTATATATAAATGTGTATATATATATATATATATGTAATTGGAACCAGAATACATTTTTATCATAAAAAACATACAATCTGAGATTCTGTGCATTTTCTATATGTCAAAGGAGAGGGAAAAAGAAAAAGCAGGATGAGTGCTGATGTAAGAGATGCAATGGCTTCAACATAAGCTAAGCTTCACTACACAAAGAGAAAGAAATCTAAATAATATTTTGAAATGTTGTCCTTTATTGTTGAAACTAATCATAGAACAGCCTGGGTTGAAGAGGATCACAGTAATCATCTAGTTTCAACCAATCCAACCAGTAATTTAGTTTCTGACCTTTAGGTCTATGCAATACCCTACTGCAATGAGGCCATCTGCTCAGGCCTAGCAATATGACAGAGGACATCAGACATCTAGCTGGCACTGCTGTATGGAAAAAATAGCTAGAGGCCAGAAGGAACACTATAGGGCTATCTCAAGGGTATAACCATAGAGGGAAGCAGAACAAAGCTGAAAACCTGCTGGCCAATCTAATGAACCACAATCCAAAAGCCACAGGCACTTTACAAGTAGCTGGCATCATAATTAATTTCAATTTAGATTCATCCTCCTCATTTGTTGTAAACAAACTACATAAGCAGAAACTGCCAGTCTCACCTACAGGAATGTGCCCTTCCAACGCTCCTCATTTCTGAAGTTCTACTGTACCAAAGAAGGGCAAGATCTGAACATTACCCCATGAATTGAAGGAGGGGAAGAAAAAGATAACTGAAGAAGGGAGCAAAGTTATGGAACAAATATGGGAAACACACAAAGAACCTAACAGGGTAAAAAAGGAACTGTATTCTAACATTTACCATGAATTCAGTTGCTGTTAAGCTTTCAAATTTTTATTATGCAAATACTACATCCACACAGTATCACAGTCACACAGGGAAAAACTGCGTGGTTATCTATCCACACTGCTGTAGTAACACATAAACATGCTTATATTTTAAAAAAGAAAATCTATTCATTGACTGAAGTCCAAAATCTTTTGCACGCATCCTTAAGAAAAGGCAACGTGACCAAAGTAGAGAAATAAAGCATGGATCAATCAAAGTACTAATTACCTTAGAATTCTAACATTATTTATTCTGGTGATTTCTCTACACAACATGCAGTAATTCTGCCACTCTAAAGCATTACCAGTATACTCAGATTTCCCTTCCTTAATGATCCTGATAAAACAAACACTTTAAACGTGTATTTTAGACATTTTATGAAGGTGAATACATGAAAGCAGTGTAATGTAAAGCAAACACAGAAATTATCATCAATACTAGTTTCTACAAAACAGGAAGACAAGTTTCAGTCAGAAATAGCTGAACACCAACTCAGATAAAACATGGAACTCTGAGTTCCTTTGTACTACACAAAACCAGGCTCAGAGTTGGTCATGAGGCATGCTGAACCCTTGCAAGCTCCTTCTGAAATCACTGAGAGGTGCAGTTTTCAACGCTGCCAGGGATCAAGGCATAAGCAACTCACAATTATTATTATTAAGAAATACGCAGAATTTTTAGAAAGAATTATCTAAAAACAATAAATGCTTCAGACTGTAGCAAAAACTACTTCATCCAAAGTAAGGTTAATGTTCCTTGGATCAAAGACTTTACTTTTTAAAAAGCAGATACCTGCGGTCCATCTCTGGCTTCATAGAAGTCACCCACTCCTATTTTTGCACTGAAGCTGAAATTGTCCCTTGAGATATCCATTATTCCATTTCTGCTGAGATACTGAAAAAATCACATATTTTTCCACTTCAGCTTGTAAATAATTACAACCCAGCTTTGTACAGCTAACTGTGAGTGTAATGACTTGCATATTTGATCAAGGTGATACACAGACCAACTCAGCAATCAGGCTGAGAAGTATTATCATCTCCTCACATCACGTATTTTGAAATAAGGATCTTTACTGGAGGAAAAAGTGGCATTCTTTCATCGTAAACATGCTTGGTAGCATGAGAACACAGAAGCGAAGAAAATAATTTACTTTAATACCTTTACTACTTCAGGATACTGTCTCAGCTTCTTTCCACACGGTGCAAAATACGCTACTTCTCCCTGAAGACGACCACCAAAGTTTCTTATTCGGGTTTCTCTTTGCCAGCTAGAATAACATGAAATGGATGCACATAATAATTCACTTCTTAAGAAATACATAATGCCAATTCTAGAATTTCACCTGAAGTGCAGAAGTTGCATTCTGATTATCAAAAAATCAAACAGGAAGAAAGAGAAATTGTTACAATGTTGACTGTCAAAATTCTGATTGTATATGAATTCATTTCTGTCAAGCTACTGATAAAATACAGATTTTAGAACAATATTTCAAGGAGTTTGTTGAGTACAGAATGAACTGAAAGGACTAATGTCCAGTGGCAAAACTGCTAAAAGGCAAGTCATGTTTGCAAAGGAGTAAATTTGATGCACAAGTGAATGCATGAAATATGCTCATACTTCTAAAGAGATCTGCAGTCATTGAGAGTTGAAAATCTAAGTCCTTGAAGCCCTTTTTCTGTTTTAAAAATTCTTGGGACTGAAATACATCATTTCTTTCCCAGCTGATTTTTGAAGGTATCAGCTCCCCCTTACAGAATATCAAGAATATATGCAACCTACCCATATTCCAGAGGAACATGCAGCTCCCGTTCATCTGTTACTCTTCGTCTCTTTGAAATGCCTAAAAAAGAATTTCTTATTAACACCCGAGCTTACAAAAAAGAAAGTAACATGTTCCTAAACCATACCTTTAAACTTACATCCTGAAAAGTTAAATCATTTTTACATTCTAGATATCGTATATCTAAAACTTAATGCAACTTCTTGCTCTTTGGAAATACTTTTTTTAGTAATTTTCCTTTAACTTCTTTTTCTAAAACAAAACAAAAAAAAAGCAATCATGCCATGCTAAGCTGCTTGTCTTGTTTATCTGTGTCAGGTATTATATGGAGATGCAATATAATAATGCCATGCAACCTGTATTTCTATACCAGTTTTTTCTGTACAGAAAATGAAAAAGGAAATATTCCTTACTTTAAAAATCCATGTATGACTAGACTCTGTCCTCAAAGTGCACTTTGTATGAGACTGTGGTCAACTGCCAAAAGTAGAAAAATTATTCCAGCTATCCAGAATTCAAATACCTTTTGCTTTATTTGATGCTAATCAAGACTTTAATCAAAAATATAAGTGAAAAAGAAAATAAAATGTGGGGTTTAAAGAGTGCTGAACCCTGGTACTTTCCTCAGGTTTTTTTTCAGAGAACTGTAGGTTATCAACTATGAACCCAGACAAATTTGGAAAAATGCATTTCTCAAAAAGGCTGTCTGGAGCTTTTGTTTGAAGAACACGACATGCCTCTTGCCTGTGTAAACCGACATGAGAAAGTACAAGTACCTTCCAAACTTGCAAAAACCGTCACAGTTAGGACTATTTTATGACATAATAGCACATGTTTCCAATGGAGGTGACTAGAAGATGAGCTGTGCATGCTTGGATGCCAAACGTCTTGGACACACTGCTGCAGTCTTAAACTAACATGACCTTCATATTACTTCTAACAGTCATGATCGAGGGAACAAAATTGTTTATCCAAATACAACTGAGAAAAAGCTGTGTAATGAAAGTCAGATATGGAGAAGAGGCCATACACCTCTTTAGCAACTGACTACCTTTAGGTAAGATGAATACAAGAATATTTTAACAGCATTATGGCTATTCTTGGTGAGGAAAACAAGTACTGAACCTAACACAAGGAGACAAAATTAATACACTGAATCTGTCATGTCCACAACTAACAACAAAAATCCACCAGCCTTTTAAAAGCATCATACATCAACCCCAAATTTCTGAAAAACAAAATTAACCTCATACTTTTAAGAATGTGGATTATTCTCAATACATGTGAAATCTTTTACTGTGTAATTCACCTGCCTGTTCATGGAAAAAAACCATGAAGTCGATCACATGTTCCTTTAAAGTTAATGTACTTGATGTCATGGCATTTTATTTCTGTTCCACAGAATTGAACTACAAAGACCAGTCTATGAGTAGATGTTGCAATTAAAAACTTACTCCACTTGTGTGTTAATTAAATATCAAGTTGCCAATTCAAAGGAGTAAATATGCAAATTGATTTAATTGTTACTGTGCAAATTGAGAAGTCTGACCTTCAAAAAAAAACCACAGGCTCTTCTGCAGCAGTTGTATTTTTCCAATCAGTTATCCAGTAGAGGATTATCAACATAACAGGAAAACGTTATGTTTTTTCCATATTTTTTTTTAAATAAGTCTGTGTGATCTCTACAATCTTATAAACTACTAGTTCAGAGTAATACGTTCGATAAAGACTAATCAATTAATTAAGCTTTAGCTTAATAAATATAAAATCCAACTATTACTTCCTACTTTCTCTCAAGTACAAAATTACATGGACTAAGATATCCCAGACTGAGTGTAACATCAGGTTTCTAGGTACCTGTAATTCAGCTGAATGATTTTAAGGTCTTTTGGAAACACTTGTGAAAAGATCACCTCATACTACTGTTTAAAATACTTTTTGTAAGAACCTTTACAACACATACCACTTAGGTGTTACACTGTATTATATAAAAAAACATTCAGATACCACAGTGTGAACTTGGTGTAAGAGTAGATGGTGTTGTCCCAAGAAAAACTGCAGGCTGGGTCTCAGGACATAAGGCAGATGGTGCAGAGCTTGGGGTCTTTGCTACTTGGAGATTTAGTGGAGTGGAATGAGCCGCAGGACCAATGGAAGAGCTCTTCATGGAGGAACCAGTTTTCTTCAGTTTCAGTGGAGTTTTTTCACCCTCAGTGTCTGTATCTGATTCATCTTGATCCTTATCATCCTCATCATCTTCATCTTCAGACCCATCTGTATCCGACTCAGAATTACTGTCAGACTCTATTAAGAAAAATTACAGCAAAAGACAGAATAAGACCAGGTAATTAAAAGCAAACACACTTAAAGGTTTAACACTTGTAAAGCCTTTGGTCTTATTAAAAACAAAGGCTTTCTGACTCTTTAAAACATTCCTTTTACCTAAGCTTCAAAATAGCTAAAATCGTGACAGTACAAAGTAGTTCTGTGTTACAATGCACTGTTGTTCCTCACGAGGAGAAGAGAGACAGAAACAGAAGTGTTTTAAGATATTGTTTACTGTAGGACAGACTACAGCTAGATGCCCTGTGAGCCTGGCACGCGTGCCCTGCTGTGGGAAGGGCAACTATAAAAGCTGTGAAATCCTGCACAAAGAAGAAGCAGCAAATGGTGGAACTGGGTGCAGAGAGGCGTGAAAAATGAAGGTAAGGCAATCTGGGCAAAGTTAGAGATAGAGTTAAGGACAGACAGGATAAGGAACAGAAAAGAGGCAACAGTTCTGAGCACAACAGAAGATGTGTGGATAAAAGGTAAGAAGAGAATAGCAAAGGCAGAGCAAGACACAAGGGATGTGGGCACACGTGGGAAGGGAGTGGCTGCGAATATAATGAACTTTTCAAAACAAGTCATGCCTTTCTGAATCACTTGAGTTTTCAAATACAAATCAGAAAGTTACCTATGAATAACGCAGCCTTTACAACTGTCCTGGTACAATTCTCTAAGCTCATTCACTACTGTGCTCCTCAATAAAGCCCTACAAATATGCTTTTCTTACCAGTCTTAAAAATTTGAAGGCAATTTTGCTTAGCTCCTCTCTGGCTGAGGAAGGTTGCTCAGCAGATGGGCTCTGCCTGACAGAACCATCAACCAGCCTATTCTCTACAACCCTCTCCTGTGCACCCTGCCATGGAAACAGTACATGAATTGCAGGTTGGGTGATTTGTCTGGATATTAGTTCTTTGATAGCCGTGCCAGAAGGGCCCTGAACCCTATCTACCAGGACAGCTGAAAGTATGCTTGCCATGTAACCAAGTACTAGAATACCCAAAACATAATTTTGGATGTGACATAAGGAAGGACTGGGAGGCATGCAATACTTTTCATGCTATCTTAAGGGACTGGGTGGGCCATGCCGCCTCAACATTGCCTTCCCCTATTTAAAAAATACTGCGGGAAGTAAGTATGTTTTCAACACATAAAAATAAGTTTCTGCTTTTCCTATTAAAAAGTTTAAACCACCTGATTGGCTATCATCAGAATCATCATCTTCATCTTCATCATCCTCATCTTCATCGTCGTCATCATCATCATTTGAGTCGTCAGATTCTTTACTGCTGGGGGCATCTGAGTCTACCCCTCTGAACTGCTCCACTACCAGTTTTGCAGATGGAAGGCGGTGTTGTGTTTTTACTGCATTTACTGCATTATTGCTGACTGGTTTATCCTTTCCTGAACCAGGTAACATAGGAGAGGTAGAGGGCACAACAAGTGTCCGGTTACCAGTTGCTTTTTTCCCACATGCACTCAAGTTCACTGGCAAAGAAAAGGGGGTACTGCTAGCAATGGCTACACTTTCATTGATCTTGGTTTGGGATTTCTGTTTTGTAGTAAGTGCAAGAGGAACTTCCTGGATGACGCTCTGAATAACTCCATTGGGTTGGTGATTACCTAAAAGTGCATTTGTCAGGAATGGATTAGAATGGTTGTTTTCCAAAGATGTGAGTTTTTGATGAGCTGGTGAACTGGATGTTGGTTTTGAGCTTGACAAAGATGCAATGACCTTCTTCAGGCTCTTAGATGATTCCTGTTTCTTTAGCTGTGCTGCTGGGAATGTCTGTTTATATTGTTCCTAAAGAAATAAGAAGAGGAATAAAATCTGAGTTGGGTTTTTTTTTCAGCCAGATGAACTCTATTAAATCAAATATCTGCTTTCAGAAAAGCTCTTTTTAATAGAACGTAAGTGCTAGCTACAGAAGAAGAGACGAGTAGCTGCAAGTTCTTTGTGTCTCTCCAGTAGCTTTCAGTGCAAATCACATAAGACAAAACGAATTGAAATAAAAATGAAGCTGATTTAAATTACGCAAGGAACCTTATTCTCTTTCTGCATTGCTCTGCATGGCAATTCTCATGAAGAAATTAAATATCATCTCAAACAGAAAAAATAGACTACACTTATGTAGCTACACAGGGATAAACCCACTTTTTACTCATGTCAATATATTTAATCTCTTTACTGAATGGTCCATTTGAAAGCACGTGGTAAATGCAACACACTAACGCTACAATGCTAGCCGAAATCCAACAGAAGGCTCTTGGCACAGGAAACTTTTACACAGAAAATCGTGAGAAAAAATGTAACTACTCAAAAGAACTGTGATACACAAGCTTTTCATCCCTGAAGAAAGAGAAAAGTAGTACTTGAAAATTCTTCACATAAAATTTAAAATCCCATAGTAGACTCTAGTGCTTCAGAAACACATCCATGTGAAGCTTAGAGGGTTCTATCTCAAATTCTTCAAAAATAAGGCAAATACACTTTCTTCGATTAAAGAAGTAGAATTAATATCGTGCAACCTAAATCAATTTTTACGTATTACATCAAATACATTTCTGGAAAAACTACTACTTAAAACTAAACACAAAACAAAGATCTGTAAGACAGATATTTACGTAGTGCTTATTTCCAGTAGAAAATTACAGAAATAACAGCACTAAATGAGTGACAAATCGCCACTTAAAGACTCTCGACCTAAATCTGATACCAGAATCCACTTCCAATGGAAAAGACAGGTATTTCCATAATTACATTTATTTACAAATTCAATTAAATGATCAGCTTATTTAAACATTGAGAAGCACCTGGGATTTGGAAGGACAAAATGATTCACTTCCAGTCTAGAAGAAAAAGTGTTTGAAATGTTTAAGGTCTTTAAATCATGAGTTATTGGTGAATCAGGCTTCACTTTTCACTGTCATTACTTCTAAGGTGTTTTAAAATATGAAATGTCTGGATGAATGCTTATACATACATACATGTATGCATATAAATACACACACATATAACCCCAGCCTCAACATTTCTAAAATCACACATTTTTATTGCCATCCAATCTCCACTAAAATCAAACTGAATAGGAACCATGAAAACTTACTGCTAGTCAACAAAAATGATTCTACCATAATCACAAATTGAAAAACAAAGTACAAAATCAAAACAAAGCTTTGTAAGCAACAAAACTGTTAGCATAGATATGTATAAGCATACTGTAAGGTCCTGATCAGTAAAAAGAAATTTTACTGCAAAGGTTATACTGAGTTTTAATAATTAATCTACAAACATCCTTCCATCTGCAAGGAACGAACACAACAGAAAATGAAATTTACAATGCTTATACACCAGACATGGAAAATATTAAACCAGCACTTCGATTAAAACTGAGAAGGAAAGCTAAAATCGTCCATCCCATTCAATTTCCCAGGAGTCCTCTTCTCATTCTGATACATAATTTAGCTGCTCACATTTATTTAAGAGACGCACAACAAAATCCCTTTCTTCGTCAGCACAGAAGGGAAGAGAGAAGATTATAACCTTCATAAACCACCATGCAAAAGCCTATGTCATCTTCAAGACATCCTTTTGTTTCCAGGTATTACTGGGCTTACTGTGTTAAAGATCTTATAATACAAAAACTACTCAGGTGAACTTCAAATAAAAGATCCCGAATTAGCAATAAATGATTGGAGACCACTTTAAATTATATTTAAATATCAGATTTAAATAGAGATTGATAATGTGGCAGTAACAGCACAGGTTACAAACAGCAAGAACAGTGATTTTTCACTCACTCGTTTTGATCGTACATCGCTGATCAAAGGGATGGATTCTTCAGAGGTATTCTTATTCCCTGCTTTGAGTAGGTCAGGAGGAGGAACTAAGATTTTTAAATAGGCTTCCTTTTTGGCTTGATGTATCAACGACAAAGGTTTCACACTGGGAACCAATCCTGTAGACTGTATTACACTTGTGTGTTTGTTCACAGATTCCTCCTTCGCCTGAGAGCTTTGGAAAATAAACGGAAGTTGCTGTGACAAAACCTGAGGCTGCTTCTGCTGGGACTGGAATGATGAATGAGTCTGGGAATCAGACACAAGAGGTATCTGCTGGTGTGTTCTTTTTTCTTGGGACTTTTCGTGGGCTTTTTGCCCATCAGTTTTCATATCTTTTACACCACTATGCATTAGCACCTGCAAAACATGGATTTACGAACATTCATGTTAGATTACTTAAAGATGATAGAAAAAAAATCATCCATCCTAAAGGAATAATTATACTCTTCTTGGCCGAGAATGAATAATACTAATTTTAAAATAAATCCTGTGACATATTTAGGGATTTTTTCTTTCCAAGATAATCTCAGCATGTGAAGAAAATAGTCAGTAAAGAAGAGTACTAAAACATGATTGCTTTTAACAAGTAATCTGACAGTAAACCTAATAAGTTACCCGCATTCCAATCTTGTTCTTCTATTTGTTATCAGGAAAAGTAATCATTTTACAATGAAAAAGCAACTGCCAAGGTGCAATATCTTGAAAAGGCACACTTTCAACTCAGTATCAGTGCACAGCACCTAACTTCTTGGTGTTGTTGGTTCTGAGTTTTGTTGCTGTTGTTCATTCTTGTTTTTTTTTTTTTTAAATATATTTCATACTTGATAACAAAATAAAACTTCTAGCCCCTCACTAGCAAAAAGCCCACGCTTATACAAAAAAGGGAGGGAAAAAGAACAAAAATAAAACAAAAAAACTGATAAACTAAGCAAAACCAGCATTCCTAACATTCATTAATATGCAGATAAATAATTACTCTCTGGTATAAACACTAGATGATTTTTTTCCACAAACAGCTTCCAATGACAAGACTGCAAGCTGCAGAATGAAATGTCATACCTTGTTCTTGTTTTCCTGATGTGCTTCATTTTCAGAATCAGATTCATCATCTTCACTCTCTTCAGCACTCTGGTCCTCCTCCTCCTCCTCCTCATCCTCCTCTAGGTCATCAGAATCACTGCTGCTTATGCCTTCACTTGATGTGTCTGACGAGGAGCCTGAGTCACTGTCACTGTTACTGGAGCTTTCTACTGTTTTTTTTCTGGGTTTCTACCAGGAAGATGACCGCTTTGTTAATGGTCCAGCTTTAATTTTATATATTATCTTATTTTAAAACAAGACCAGTAAGATTCTATAGTAAAGGAGCCTGAAATCCCTTAGTAGTGTTTAGGCACTCTTTGCCAGGAACTAAAGAAGAAGTGCTTCTCAATGTGATGAAAATAAAGCACAGGTCACTAGGTTTTGCCACAACAGTTTTTGGAGCACATGACCTGCAGATCAGTTAAGCACCACAACATTTCAAAGCAACAAACCAAATGAGAGCTGAGAAAACTGGTCTGGAATTCAGGTTTAGAAATCTACAAAATTCACTGCTTCCAAAAATTTCAAAAACCAAAAGCTTTCTTGCAAAATAACACAGAAATAATACCAACATATTGAATTCATCAACACATTTCAGAGACACATTCACTCAAATTACATTATTTGTAATTTCACAGTATTTGATACATTTCAACTAATTTCATAATTTGGTCTTCAAGAAGGCCAAATTTCTTCAGGAATGCTTGGTTCTTTCTATAAGTACTTATATTAATACAATGAGACTTTTAATGTCTTCAATATCAGTTTTTTTGCATTTGAATTCAGTAAAAAAGGTTAACTTATTTGACTTTTCTTTCTTCTGGTAAATACAAAGAGAATTCCAGAAAAGCTTTTTTAAAGCCTAAAGATTTAATTTGCTTCTGAAATTTTGTTTCAAACTACAAGAAATACAATTACATAGTTAAATAATCACTTCTCGTATGTGGATAGGCTGAGGAAACTGCATGTGTTCAGTCTGGAGAAGAGACTACTCCCTGTGGCGTTCCAGTACTTACAGGGAGTTTACAAACAGGAGGGAGAGCAACTAAGTGCATGGTCTGATAATGACAGGACAAGGGGGAATGGCTTCAAACTAAATAGGGGATTTTTAGATCAGATATGAGATGGAAATCTGTTCCCCAGGCAGTGAGGCCCTAGCACAGGCTGCCCAGAGAAATGCAGGTGCTCCACCCCTGGACATGTATAGGGCCCCGCGCAGCCTGAGCTAGTGGCAGCCAGCCAACCCTTGGCAGGGATTGGAACTGGTGTTCTTAAAATCCCTTACAAACTAAGCCATTCTGTGATTCTATGATTCCAATAAATATTATCCATGAATACATACTCATATATTACATTTGTTTACATGCTAATAACTATAGATTAGTTGTGTCAAAATATACTTCCATTTTATAATTGCTTAATGTAAATAAACTCGTGCTATCAAATACAGTTATTATGCAGTAAAAGTAGTGTAAATTGTTCACAAACAAAACTTAAGTTTAAAAACAAAAAGCAAGCATAAAAATTCCTCAAAAACAGCACTCCACAAGGGTGGACATCGTGCTTCTAAAGATGAAAATTCTTAAGTACATTCTATTAGGGTAAAAACATGTCTTTGTGTACAAATCAGAACATTCACCATCTCTTTTTTTTTTTTTTTTTTTCCCCTCCAGTTGAATCATGAATTGTTTACATATATTTACCTTATCTTTGATTTTGTCAGCTCTGGTGTCCAAAAGCTGAACTTTGCTTTGCTCCTGGTTGTACTTGCGGCCTCCTGCTCCTGAGGTTATAGCTTTCACTTGTCCTGCAGATGTTGCAATACTAGTGGATAGTACAGATGTGCTGATAGCAGATGCTGCAGTGGTACTGTTCCCATTCAGTGATCCATTTATACCTAAAGATGACAGATTTTACACAGCGATACTTGAAAAATCTAAAATAGCAGACGTTTTTGATGAGATGTTCCAGTCACAATAACCTAGTTTCCATACTCCCTTAGGAAGAGACTACTCAAAGTCAATTTCTGTCATAAACTCAAAGATGTACCATCCAAGGATCAGTCTGAATTGCCCACAAATTTATTTTAAACCAGAAAACACAGAGCACTCATTATTCGAAGTGTAAATAAATGTAATGCTGTAAAGAAAAAAAAATTCTGAAAACACAAACCTAGAGTTCAGTTAGGGGCAGTATAAGAAGATACTCCAGAAAAAGATTTAAAAACAAAACAAAACAAAACACCAACACTACATTCCAGCAGAAAAGTCTGCTTCTGATTCTGAACAATCAATCAGCTTCAAAGAACTACAGCAAGCGTCCAAAATTTTGGTGTTCTGAAATGTAAAAAATGAGGGGGCAGTAGGGAGTAAAAGTTGCGGGAATGCTACTAGAGATAACATTTGTTTTCAAGTTTGCTTATTTATTTGTCAAAAAGTATGTTTTCTTAGAAAAACTAGCCCCAAGAACTCCACAATCCTAGGACTACTATCAGAATGATTTTGAAATATAAATCAGGTCCTAAAAAAACTACCAAAATTACTGAAAAAAGTTTTGTTTGTGCTGCAAACAAATGTATGTAAACATGTTCAAAAGATGTAAAACAATGAATTCAAATGCAAAAAAAAAAAAGTCTAACTCAACTATTCTTTACTGAGATCATAGCCTTATCCCTTCCCCTCACTGCAGAACAGACTCCAAAATAGATAAAATTAAATTACTTATTTACTCTATAAATATTAAAAGGAATATATTCTCCACTGTTTTCATCCCAGACAAAAGAAGAGGTGTAAAAATACAATTAGAAAGAGCATTTTGTAATTGAAATTTTATGTTTCACGCTTCACCGACAGAATAAATTAATAGAGAACTTTTTAGGAATGGGCAACAAGAAGTAAGGTTCAAATTCTACATTGTGCAAGTGAGCAATTATTCACCCAATAATTTTACTCATTACCTTTTTCTAAACTGCCACGATTATTTTTTCCTGTAGTTCTTGGGTGGAATGGAGTAGAATCATGGTTCTGGGCAGGAGGTGCAAAGAGCGGTGAGATGCCCAAGAGTGGTGGGAAGAAAGCTGCCCCAGAGCGAGAGTGAGAGTCCACTGTTCGCCACCATTCTGTACCACAGAGCAAACAAAAAACAAACTTCAGCTTTACCAATAACACACATAAGTATTTCTGTAAGAAAGTTCTGAAGTTCTGATGCAGAATTTAGAGCAGACCTAGTTAATTCTGGTGGGGAGTTGAAATATATATACATATATATATATATATATACACACACACACACATGTATACTCATATGTAACACTTAAGACATCACCAAACACGTTGTATAACATCAATTGCTTGTGGCAATTCTGGCTATAAACCCTTTAAGCTACTGAGGTAAAGATTTCAATACGGTTTTATTTATACAAACTCACATATATCCTTTCAGTTTTTAAATGGAGCTTATAAACAAGATGGAGACCAACTTTTTACACTGCCTGTTAGCAACAGGACAAGGGGGAACAGCTTTAAACTAAAAGAGGGGAGATTTAGGTCAGGTTTGAGGAGGAAATCTTTTAGCCAGACTGTGATGATGTGCAACGGACTAGGTAACCTCCAGCAGCCCCTTGCAACTTTAAGCGCTTTGTGAGGAAAATAGGTTAAATGTGATAAGAGCATCAACTCTAACATTAATTTTGAGTTTTTATACTTCTGCACTCAACACAAATCTTTTAAACTTTGAAAAACATTAAGACAAAAAAGGAACAGCACGCATGATTAAGCAGAAAGTAAAGCTGGAGGATATATTTTCCAACAAAGACTTGTCTGGCAGATGGCACAGATGTCTGATAGACAGATGTCTAGTGTTCTGAAAGAAGAAAAACAGAGAACCTGAAAATATCACACAACAACTGAATTTTTAAAAGTTGTGAGAATCCCAAAATTTATATAAATCAGGAAAAGGTGGCAGGAGACCTGCACACTTGAGCAACCAGCTCACAGATAAATACAAAGGGAACAAAAAGATCCAATAGATGCGGAAAAGGGGCCTATCTGCTTGGGAAGAAGATAAGAACATTGTCAGGGCCTGCAGGGATGCAAAGTACAAGGTTAAGGTCACTTGGAATTAAGTCTGGCAAAAAAGATCAAGGATAATAAGAAAGGCTTTTAAAGTATGTCAGTACTAAAAAGAGGACTAGAGAAAACATGGGCTCACTAGTGAATGAGGTGGGTGTCTAGTGAATGAGGAAACACTGAGATGGCAAAGATACTGAACAGCTTCTTTGCTTCTGTCTTTATTACTAAGACCGCCCCTTGAGAATCCCAGGGCCTGAAGGTAAGAGAGAGAGTTTGGAGAATGGAAGGCTTCCTCTTGGTCGAGGTGGATCTGATCAGAGAGCATCTAACCAAAACCAACACACACAAATCCACAGGCCCTGACAGGATGCAATCACGTGTGCTGAGAGAATTTGCAGAAGTGATTGTCAAACTGCTCTTTATCATCTTTGAAAGGTTGTGGAGGAGAACGAGACAAGTCCCCAAAGACTGAAGGATAGCCAGTGTCACTCCAGTCTTCAAAAAGGGTAAGTAGGAGGATCCAGCAAACTACAGGCCAGTTAGCCTCACCTCCATCCCTGGAAAGGTGATGTAACAATTTGTTCTGGATGCGATCTCCAAGCAATTGGAAGAAGGTTATCAGGAGTAGTCAACATGGATTCATCAAGGGAAAATCATGCTTGATCAACTGATAACCTTCTCTAATGTTATCACTGGCTAGGTAGATTGGGGAAGAACAGTGGCTGTTGTGTACTGTAACTTAAGCGAGGCGTTCAATACAGTCTCCCACCACACCCTTGTTATGAAAGCGTGGAACAGATGTGTATAAATGACTTGGATTAAGGACTGCAAGAGCTCAGAGGGTTGTGGTCAGCAGCACAGCATCTGGTTGGAGGTGGATAACAAGCAGTGTTCCCAGAGGGAGGGGGTCAGTGCTGGGTCTGGTCTCGTTCAGCATCATCATCAGTAATATGGGTAAAGGGATAGAGTCCACCCTCAGCAAGTTTGCTGATGATACAAAGCTGGGAGGAGTGGAGGACAGACCAGAAGACTGTCCTGCCATTCAACAGAACCTGGACAGGCTGGAGAGTTGGGCAGGAGGAACTTGACGAGGTTTAACAAGAGCAAGTGTGGAGTCTTCCCCCTGGGAAGGAAAGACTACATACCACAGTACAGATCAGGGGATGACCTACTGGAGGAGAGCTTTGTGGAGAAGGAGCTGGGGGTTCTGGTAGGCAACAGGTTGGCCGTGAGCCATCAGTGTGTCCTGGTGGCCAGTGAGGCCACTGGGATCCTAGGGTGCATTAAAAAGAGCGCGGCCAGCAGGTTGAGGGATCTGATCCTCCCCCTCTACTCTGCCCTGGTGAGGCCACATTTAGACTACTGTGTCCAGTTCTCGGCTCCCCAGTTCAGAAAAGACAGGGATCTCCTAGAAAGAGTCCAGAGGAGAGCCAAACTGTTTGTAGTTATCTGAAGTGCAGGTGTCAAGTCGATGGTGGCAAGCAACAACAGAACAAGAGACAACAGACAGAAGCTGGAATAAAAAATAAAAATACACAACCAGTACTGTCTGCTACCTTAAGCCGATACCTGATTTGTCCATAAAGCAGAGGCTATCAATTTTTAAATATGGGCAAGATAAAATGAAGACAAATAGAAACAAACAATTGTTTGCTTGTAAGAATAAACTGGACTGTAATGATACTATCTTATGAAACATTAGACTGTCTAGCAATTTTATAATTCTAGCATTTAATTTTTTTTAGTGCTTGTTCTTCAAGTTACTAACCTACTGTTGACACACTCCACACAGTGAAACTTCAAACTGCACTCCATAACATTCTTTACTTACTTCAAATAGGTCAAACACTTTTAAGCACAGCTTAGAAATTCTACTATAGAGATGAAAGACTGAAAGCATCACTGTAAAGGAGAACATCCATTTCAACAATGCTGACCTCTTAGTAAAAGGAACTATAACTGTGAATGCCTTTGTTAATATTAATGAACTTCATAGTACAATGCAGTATGTAAAAATAAATATTTAACCAGTGCCTAAAAATATAAAGCATCAGTGCACCAACCTGCAGAAATATAAAGATATTCTAACTATGCAAAAGGCATTCCAGCTTAGACTGTAGCGGGTGTAGAGAATTGCTTAGAGTGGCAGAAATTGTGTGCTTCCCACTTTTCTCTGTCGCGTTTTAATCATTGCAGTGCTACGGAAGTTTGTCTTCTGCATGACTCTCAGCAACAGGACTCTAGATCTCCCCAATTGTATGCCTAATTCCACAGTGCTGAATTTCACAGTGATGAATCTCTCACAGTGGGAAACTTGAAGTGATGGAAAAACCTGGACAATGGTTTATATATACACGAGTAACAATCATCTACTCCCACAGCTGGTTAAAAACCCCAATATCTGTTATTTTAAACGAAGATCAAAAGCACTGGCAATCTAATTAAAATACTCAAAATGAAAAAAAGAAAATGTATCATTTTAATACACTCCAAGTATGCTCTTGCAGAAACAAGTACACAGATAACATCCATGAACGTAACTGCAATGACTCCACCTTTAACCTTCCTCCATAACAAGATAAGAAGTTGGTTGTGAATTCATTTTGTAAAAAAAAAATAAAATAAACTGAAAACAGACAGAAAATTACCTGCTAGTGGTGAAGAACACAAACCAGCTAAGCCAATACAGAACACTAACCAGCTAAGCTTGAACACTGAGAACATTGAGCATTTTCAAGAAGCTGATTAGTGAATCTAAAATCTGCAAGTGGCACTGAGTCTGCTATATCAGTTTGTAAAATGATTCCCATACCTTTGCAAATTGAAAAGTTCTTTCATGTTTGAAAGCGCTGATTTTAAATCACTTTGAATGTACTATGTATGTATAATGTACAAAATAATACATAATACAAATTCCCCTCCTCACAATAATAAAAAAAAAGATCTGTGAGATCTTATATTTGACCCTGTAGCAATAATTTCATTACAAGTGTTAACAACCACTAAAATCACACAGCAATATGTAATTGAGTTATTCTTACCACCCGTGTTGATTGTGGAACTCAACGACGCAGCTCCAGTGGTAAGGCCACTCTTGGAAACCGCAGAAGCTACAGAAGGTGTAGAAGACACTGGAGATGAAGCAGCTGCACTTGAGGAGACTGATGATGACGTTAACCGCTCTCCAGACTCCATATCTAAAAAAGAGACAAAGGTTTAAATTCTACACCAGGAAATCACAAGTAGACTGACTACAGAGGTGCCTGTGTTGACCATGTCTCAGGAGCTGTACTCAGGCAGTTTCCTGCGAGACCTTCAGGTGAAATCTATGTGATACTGTGGTATCACAGTCATCACAGGAACCCAGCATAACTGCAGAATAAGGAAATTATGCACTGCTGTTGAGAGCAGCAACACATCTGAGTCTGAATGCTGCACAGTAAAGTCTGCAACATTTATTGCTGTCTCCAATGCCCATGAGAATCCTTGTCAGAGCCTCTGGAGCATGAGCAAGCCCTAATAGCCCTGGCCAGACACTCCACACTATGTCCAGAGACTCCATGTAGTCTTAGACCTGCACTGTCAGCTCCCACCTGGGCTGGCATGCTGGAGCACTCCTATGCCATCTGGTACTGCTGTGCCCGTGTCTCCTGCCTAGATCCCTTTTCTCATGCTGTAGCTTCCCTCCAGGCTCAAAACAACCCTCATCTTCCACTACCCTGACCAGACTACCAGAGGAAGCTGAGGCCTGAACAATTCCTTTATTTTGTCTGGACCCTGTGACCAGCACCCTACTGTAGCGTGTTTACATCCTGTGAACTCCCTTCTCACTGCTGTGAAAACACCATTAAGTTCAACAAAGCCAAATGCAAAGTTCTCCACATGAGTCAGTGCAATCTCAAACACTCAGACAGGCTGACAGAGACTGGACTGAGTGCAGCCCTGTAAGCCCTCCCTCAACCTGCTTGCCACGTTCTTTTTAATGCACCCTAGGATCTCAGTGGCCTCACTGGCCACCAGTGGCCTCCACCAGGACACACTGATGGCTCACGGCCAACCTGTTGCCTACCAGAACCCCCAGCTCCTTCTCCACAAAGCTCTCCTCCAGTAGGTCATCCCCTGATCTGTACTGTGGTATGTAGTCTTTCCTTCCCAGGGGGAAGACTCCACACTTGCTCTTGTTAAACCTCGTCAAGTTCCTCCTGCCCAACTCTCCAGCCTGTCCAGGTTCTGTTGAATGGCAGGACAGTCTTCTGGTGTGTCCTCCACTCCTCCCAGCTTTGTATCATCAGCAAACTTGCTGAGGGTGGACTCTATCCCTTTACCCACATTACTGATGATGATGCTGAACGAGACCAGACCCAGCACTGACCCCCCCCCTCCGGGAACACTGCTTGTTACACCTGATATTTTTTGTTTCATAAATTTGACTCTCTCCTAATGATTATAGAAGCCCAAGATCACCTGTAATAAAATAAATAAAAATCCACAAACTTCCAGTTGGTTTGTATTTAAGTGAGCTCTCTAAACAGCTAAACATTAGGATTAAATCAGCAGCACAAGACAGAAAAGCGACCCATGCAGTCTGAAGGTTAAAATACATTCACAGCGGCTTATGTACAACACGCTAAACTTCAACTTTCTTTAGTATCATGTAATGGCATTTATTATTAAAGAGTTAATAAATAAGGTAAAGTACCTGAGGATTTTTAATACCACATGGAAAAAAATATAATTTTCCAACCTATTTCAGTATTCTTCATGATTTTTATTTTTTTTTTTAATTGCAGGTCTTGAATAAAACATAACTCAAATAGGTATTCGGTGTTTGAAGCAAAATATCCATTTCTGTAGACACCTTACTTCAGATTAAGGAAAATTCCCAAAGCATAAAACACTCTTTCTGTCAATAAAATTCTTTTAACTGAAATCCAGCATCTACTTTTCCTTTTTCCCCTTTTCCTTTATCTTTTTTTTTAAAGCTGATGATTTTTATTCATCGTCCTGTAAGTAACAACAAAATTGCACGATGCCTCATAGCTTTTGTTAGAATAAATTACATAATCATCACAATGAATTTAGAGATTAGAAAATCTCCAGAATTATTCAGAAGCTTGTTGACAATTTCTTGTATGAAGTACCACAATAAGCTCACATTAACAGTCACTCCATTGCAAAAATCTTGTCGTTTAAACCAGTTATATTCTTTTTTACCATACTTACACATGAACTCACACTACCCAGAAGCGCAACATTTCTGCCTTTTGTTACCCAAAAATTTAGTTACAGTTAGCTCTGTTGCACAATGCTCTATCTCTGGGCCACTGTACTGTACTCCTCTACTTCCAGTTCAAAACACATACTACTAAGTCAGCTCAAACTCACACTCCACTGCAATTACAAAAGAGATAATAGAGCTTAAGGAAAAATTGCAAAGGAAACGCGCTGATGAATTTCGTGTGTCAAAAGCTAACACAGGTTCATCTTTGCACTGTTAAAATTCAAGACAGTTAAAACTCATGGTTGTGTAAAACCAACCAGTGTTTTCTGTAACTGAACCTTGCTTACTACCTGAAGAATGACAGAACACATTAATGAGCATTAACGTGGTCAAGCCCAATGCATCTGTTCTAACATACTTACACAAAAACTTCCCAAACAACTCACTGCAATCAACATATTTTGTCCAGCTGGTATTATTGTGCTTCCTGTTTAGAAAATGACTAGGCAGAGGAACGCCAATCCAAATGCATAACATAAAGGAAAGAGGTCCCCACAACTCACTACTTTTGAGAATAAATAACGTTTCGAACTGCAAACCCAGATATCTACTTGAGTACGTGAACTCCACAGAAGTTTAAACAACCAACTCATATGTCATGCACAGTTCATTACACAACTTTTAGAGAATGAGGACAACAGGATGGGATAACTTTGCACTGCAGTCCTAAACCTACACACACTACAAAATACATCATGTACTGAAAGAAACAGGAAGGACAAGAATGTTAATTCAAGTCCTTCCTTATAAATGAAGCAGCCAGGATAAGACAAAGAAGTGGTATCCACATTTTCACGTTGACCCCCACACACACAGTTCTTCAGGAACCTCGAACCAGTTTTAGAAGGAAGTACTCTGTGCTACACCATGCATCAGTTTAAACTCGCTTCACTACTGGAATCCACCTTCACTTCCAAAATGTCTTTGTTGTTGATGTCATTTGTTCATTGTTTCTACCAGCTTTAAGACATTAAGATCTCGAACTAAATGTAAGCATTTCAGCAAAAACAAGTCCACTCAAGTTTACTTGAAGAAACTAACTAGAAGAAATAATAATGGGCTCTGAAGAAATAAAACCAAGCCTCAAGAAAAGCCTCAGAAGCTATTACCTTGTCAGCAGACCATCCTCGTCACCCCACTCACAATACTATTCTTACAAATCATGCAGATGCCAATCTGGTGTTTCAGTGTTATTTACACACTTAAAGGATGCAATTAGAAACAGAAAACCTGACGGACTGCATTTCTGTCTCTACATACAGTATAGAAAGAAGACAGTAAAACATCCGTACTGGCCTCTACAAAAATCAAAATCACATATGAGAATATATACTCAGATTTCAGGTGTTGAAGAAAGGCACATACTAAACATCCACTTTTCCTCCATTCAAAGTGTACTAGTTAAAATGCAGGACATCATTTTAGCTGTATGAGGCGTTGTTTTCTTAGCAAAGCTTGACAAGTACTTGAAGGTAAACTGATATGAAGTACTCTAACTATTCCTTTAAAATGAAAAGGCACTCTAACAGCAATCTGGGACATCATAGTCATGTGTGACTAACAAGCGAGTCTGCACTTCTTTTGAAGTAGGAAGAAGGAAGCCAAAGGCAACTCTAACTGCTGCCCACAGCATTCACCTCAAGGAGATGGCACAGGAGGTGCACAGGGCTCGTGGCTGCTGTACATGTGTGGCAGAAGCAGCTGTATCCTGGGACCCAAGCTGTCCCCAGTGCTTCACTGCACCAACCTGCATGGAGAAGCAAACCACCAAAACCAGCTCCAGCAGTCATCAGGAATGTCCCTCCAGTTCCACAGCAAGTCAGTTTTGTTAAGGAAGCAGGCACGAAGCTTGGAGCCAATAATTTCAGCTGTGAGACACCAAGCTCTGAGTTCACGAGCCTCTACAGTGAACAACCATGCCAAGATTAGTAAGAACAAGCAGGATGTTTTTACATCAGAATTCTAAGACACTGGGAAAAACTGTCAAAGGTGAAGGAAACCAGCTAGGTAGTGAGGGAGCAGAACATACAGCATGCTCCGATGGACAAGAAATCCTTTGTATCAAACACACAATATCATTTTAATACAAACATACATTGGAACTGCAGAATTTGACTTAGTACCTTTCCAAACATTGTTTAAAAAAGAAGAATGTGCATTTGTGGTTTTGGTACAGAACTACAAGAATGTTTCTCATGGTACAGAACAATTCTGCCACAAATTCAATGCTATTAACACATTAACATTTTAAACCAGCTATAAAATGATTTTGGACTCATTTAACTGAGTAAGACCAGAGGTGAACAGCAAGTCACTTTACAACATGAAGTCTCTTATATTAACCTCTAGAGCAAAATAAAACTGGACCTGTACACATAGCTCTCTGTCACACATACTCATCACAGAGAAATGTATTGAAGAAAAACAGTCCTTATTTCTAGTAAACAGAGAAACAACACGTCTTATACATTTAAGAAAAGGTGAAAAAAAGATGGTTTTATTTGGTAACTAGGTTTACGTTAGACACAGAAAGGTACTCTCTATGATAAAATAAATTATGAACATATATGATACTGTACATGTTTGGTCACTGAGTCTGCCCAGTGAGCAATCAATAGAATTTTTCATGAAGTTAATGCTTGTTGCTTGTTCAATATCTGAATACATTTTCATGCTTTATTAAAAAAAACTCATGCAAATCAGGTTTATTTTCTCATAGCTACTCCCAAACAGGCATTACAAAACAGCAGGTGTCTTTCTTAGGAAAAAAAAAAAAACAACCAGCAAGAAAATTTTGATACTTAAAACTCCATATATTCCTTTCTCAATCTATAAACACTGAAACTATTAACTTGGTCCGGGAGCACACAAAAGCACTGAATTCCTGGCATTACAGGAGAATAGACACAGAACATT